ATATATATATTACGCATCCTTAGTTGCGACTCTGCATTACTAACAACCCCTTTCTCCTAATTACGCAGAATATTTAAGGATATAAAAATATGTCTGTACTAGAAAAATCATACTATCTCTACCGGATCAAGATATGAGTATTTTATCCGGGTTTAAAATCAACTTTGACCGGACCTATATCATAGACGGTTCACGATTGTTTTGTAATTAAATTTACTTATTATTATTTTGTTAGTTTTTAATATATTTATGCATATTATGTGATATACGCGGTTTTTTCTTTTACTTTTTTAAATAATAAATTGTACTTTAAAAATATACATAAGACAATGTAATGGAAAAGCATTTGCAATTTTTTAATAAATGTAACGAATATTACTCTTGGTGTTTTTTTTTTTTTTATTTCCGCTGGTAATCCTTTGTATTTTGTTTATATTTATGGGCTTTTTGAATGTTTAACAGCTTGGCTACTTCTTCGGAGTCGCCTGGTTCATGTAAAAAATAAATAATAATATAATAAACTCTTTATTCGACTAAAAAACGGCGAGGGATGGGCAGCAGCGTCCCTCTTAAAACATCTCTAAAACCTGACTGCGGTTGCCAATCCGCCCGCCAAGTATGGCAACTACTGGCAAAACCCCTCTAGAGAAAGGCTTATGTTCATCAGTGGATAGTAAAGCTGATATAATGAAACTATTAAAGTATCTATATAAGAGGTATGCAATACTCCAGAGGGAGACTTTGTACAAAAGTCGATTGCTTGGGTACCTCTGTCCCATTTATGTTTCTACCGTGAAGCAGTTGTGTTTGCATGGCTGTGTTTCGGTTTGAAGGGTGGGATATGGCGTGAATTTACTTGGTACAGAGTAATAACACCTGAGTCCTCAGGAATGGCAACGCATGGGGGGTATCATGGGCGAAACAGTATACTCTGTTATGTGCATGGTACTACTCATGTCTATAGGCGACGGTTACCACTTTCCATCAGGTGGGCCTGAAAAGTGGAAAGTGGTGGTGGTGGTTTTTTTTATACAACTTAAAATGACAAACAAGCTGACGGACTGACAACTGGTCTGTATTACCTGATTTAAGTGTTTTGTATTGGCACAATTGGCATATCCACTGTTATATAAAGAAATTTCGGTGGAATATTGACTTTCAGCACCTACTTCATCTCACACTTAGGCTGCTGGTTCAGGGCTCCCGTAATTCGTGTTATCGTTGTCTATTTTTCCTCGATTTATGTGTATACGTAAATAAACTGTAAAAATAATAAATAATACCTAAACTCACTCCAAATAAAGTGAAGATTATTTTATTTTCAAAAACTGCCGTGCAGGTCGATGTTTCTTTTCCCGCGTCAAAGTCACACTGTATTAATGCACAGGATTCGCACCAGAGGGCAGGCATCTCCATATATCCCCGTTGTCATTTACAGGAACGATATATATTTATATGTGTATGTTTTGTAGAATTGTAATAATGTAGTGCCGCGAAGTTATTAAATATATTGTAGGTAAATTAAACACCCATAATTTTTTATGTTCTGTAGATGACTATTTATTCTATTCTATAATACAATGATGTATTATAGAATCTTCATATTGATACATTTACGCAACTGACATCGTACTTTTCGTGGCACATTTTACATGTAAGGAATTCTTTATTTGTGATATGGTGCAGACAACTGGCACATTTAGTTGCCATTTTTATTGCTGACAAATGGTAGAATTTTAATTATTTCACAATAAGCACTGTAGTCTATCAATTTATTATGTGAATGATCCATGTATTTCTTAATCACAACTAATTTTCAACACCAACTGTAAAATATTATTAATTTATAATAAAAGTTGTAGGTGGGTAGATCGATTTTCTGTTGTTGTGTATAACAAAATATAGATCTTTATCTCCTTGTTTTTTTTTTCTTTGATGGATGAAAATGGTATGGTAACCCCGCCTGCGCTAACGGGATATGCTGGCGAAGCATCAGTGTAGGGTGATAGATGAGAATGAAAACAGGCCAGTTAGCCCATCATGATGAATTCATCAGGAATTAACCACGATAGTCTCCAGGGGGAACCGCGAGGAGGTCGACCTAGTTGGGTATATTGCTAGCAATGGGATTCTTAGTCTCGATTACTAACAATCGCTTTCCCCCCCGTATGTATGGTGTTGGACGTCAAGTGATTTCTTTTGGTATGGTTTAATTTATTACAATTATTTTATTACATTTCCAAATTTATTTAACACTGTAAGTTTGGTTTATTTTGTGTTTCTATTATATGTAACACGTTTTAATGATTTATTATATATTCTTCCGACTTTCACAGTATTTAGAAGTACTTATATAATAACAACATCGCTTTTAATAATTTACTTTTATTTATATTATACTTTTGTTGCAGAGCTAGTGTAGTCGAACGCAAGATGGCGCCTCAATGATTACTATATTTAATTATTTTTTTGTATTTACCTAGCTTATAGACCTTTCAGAATAAATATACCTTGTATTCATTTCTTTTATGCACAATAGTTTATAATTGGTTACTTCTCATCACCATTGTTACTTTTACTAAAGTACAAAATAAGACTATTAGCAATACAACAATAAGAATTGATAATTAGACGGGCGATAACACACGCACGCGCGCATGTGTGTGTTTTATTAGTTTTTTTTTTTTATACAATTTAGAATGGCAAACAAGCTGACGGCCCACCTGATGGAAAGTGGTAACCGTCACCTATAGACATGAGCAGTACCATGGACATAACAGAGTATACTGTTTCGCCCATGATACCCCCCCCCCCCCCTCATGCGTTGCTATTCCTGAGGACTCAGGTGTTATTCCTCTGTACCCTGTAAATTCACGCCATATCCCACTCTTCAAATCGAAACACAGCCATGTAAATACAACTGCTTTACGGTTGAAACACGAATGAGACAGAGGTACCCAAGCAAACGACTTTTGTACAAAGTCTCCCTCTGGTAAAATTGATAAACATATTCTTGTAGGTATAGGATGTACGCGCCATCAAGGATACCTACGTCCCAGTAATAAATAAGATTCAAGATAAATTCAATTCAATTCATGGATACTAGATCGAATTTTTTATTAAGAGAACGTTCTCAATTCGTGTTTTTTTTTTCTGTTATTCCGCCATTTTCTATGTGTATGAATCTGTAATATGCGATAACTTGGCGTTCTAAAAAAAATTTAATCAAAGCCCATAGAGAGCGTAGCCGAGCTGCGTGAACGAATTTCTCAAGTTGCTGAGGACATCAACTCTCGAGGATATGCCCGGCTAACAAGTAATCTTTTTTAAGAAGATGTAGGGCGTGGGATGCTGATGGTAAACAATTTGAACATTCATTGTAATTAAAAAAATGTTATTTCCCTATCTGACTTTTATTACAATAAACCTAAACTAGGTCAAGATTTTTCATTATTTTATTAATTTTACTTACTTTTGTTGACTTTGGTAAAAGTGGCGTCACTATCTGTCTCGCTCACTCATGGCAAACATGTACACTATCCATCTCTCTCATCATTTTGCCGTAAAATTAAGAACATACCAAAAATTTGTGCGAATAAAAAACATTTGAACTGAGTAAAATGGGTTAGCAAAAATCGGGTTACTTGAGGTTTTTATTTTTTACTCATTTTTTTTTTTAGTATAAAACTATCAAGTATTGTACCATTTTACAATCCTGATTAAATGCGCGAGCTTTTAATGGCACTTGCCAAGGCACTTTGGTACATTTTTTTTTAAAGAAGGGCCTTTCAAACTCGACATATTTTGAAAATTTGAAATTCATAGTTTAACAATTAGTCTTAATTCTAGAAAACTTGGGGCAGTTGTGTCATTATTTTTGACTGTGGTTCTAGAAATGTTATTTAGGGTTACGGTCCCAAAGTTTAAATGAACAAAAATAATAAAAAATAACCACAATAACCGAAAAATGATTACAGTTTGACCAAATTTTTTTATGTTTTTATACAACTTATAATGGCAAACAAGCTGACGGCCCACCTGATGGAAAGTGGTAACCGTCGCCTATAGACATGAGCAGTACCATGGACATAACAGAGTATATTGTTTCGCCCATGATACCCCCCATGTGTAGACTCAGATGTTATTCCTCTGTATCCTATAAATTCATGCCATATCCCTTCAAACCGAAACACAGCCATGCAAACACAACGGCTTCACGGTAGAAACACGAGTGGGACAGAGGTACCCATGTAAACGACTTTTGTACAGTCTCCCTCTGGTAAAATTCCTAGTATTACAGGCGTCCATAGGCTACGGTAATCCCGTTTACCATCAGACGGACCGTATGCTTGTCTGCCATCAGAACTGTATGAAAAAAAAGGTAAGATTTTTACTGATAATTATAGTAGGCAATCTTCAATGTTGCTAGTAACACACACACTAATGAACAAAATAATTGTAATCACGTATAAAATACTATGCTAAGGTAGTCGATGCATATTTAAATAAACAAGCGGTCAAATTGTAATTATTATTTCAGCCGTTAATTGTCCACTGTTGGGCATAAGCCTGAATAAGGAGTATTTTGCCAGTAGTTGCCACGCTTTGCAGGCGGGTTGACAACCTCCTGGGGGATGTGCTAATATACCGGCGCATCCCCCGAGTAGTAGGGTGAGCACGCCAGCCACCCTATCTTGAGAGAGGAGACCTGCTCTTATCATCTGGGGACGGGTCGCTGCTGTCGGAGATGTGGTGAGTGCGACAGCGAACCCATGTCTCCGACATACGGCACCTCGAGGGTATATCGTCTGGTTTTTGGTGGGTACACCTCCATTTTACAGGGGGATTCTCACAGTACCCATTCACCTCCCACAAGTTGTATGGGTCTTCATAACGTTGACGTCGATGTAGACGTTAAAAAAAAAAGGCGGGTTGACAACCGCCTGACACCGTTAGACTTTTAGAGATGTTTTATAATTATAATAATAAAACAAAACCAATGAACAATATTATGTATTGGTGGTATATGACTTTGCTCGATATTGGATTAATAATATAAAATGTATTTATTGGAAATAATCACTGATATTGCAATACACTAAGTCTAACTCGCCCGCGGTCCCAACTTCCGTAAACAGGACAGACCCTGGAAACAATAACATACTTTTATTATAATAACAAGCGAAATAGTTTTATTATGTTTTAGTATTTGCGGACCGTCCAGACTGCAAGTATTTGAATTGTTGCAGAATGATTCACATGCTGGCTAACATACAAAAAAAAGTAGGTTAAGATAATGTTATTTGTTATAAGTCTCAAAATTTGTCAAAATTTGGTTTAATAATTTATATTTGGTACAAACAAATATTGTTAAAATTTTGTGGGCCCTGGTTGCCTTGATTAAAGAATTTATTTATTATTATTATCTTAATACATAAAAATCGCCATGTGGTCCCGGCGTAGAATAACCCATACCTTACCCATGAGTGTCGTAAGAGGTGACTAAAGGACCTTAATGATCAAGAAATGAACAGTAACATCAAAATGAGCTTGAAAAAATATTTTTTATATTTTTTATTTTTATGAACTATACAGGTTCGATTTAGATTTCGATTTCAGTCTACTTTATTATTTTTTAAATTTCTAGAAAATTCACATCTCCCCTCTTAAGGAGAGGAGATGGCAACTAACCCCCGGCAGAAGCACAGTCGGCCGGGGTTCAAGGCCCCAGGGAGAGAAACCGGGAGAAAAAAGTACATGTGGGAAGTATCTAAGAGCACCGGTTTCTGCATCTTTCCCGGGAGGGAGCCGCCTCGGAATTCTAACCGTCTGAGATGTTGTTCCAATCAGTCTACTTTATTATTATTAATATTGCAGTCGTCAACCGTCCACTGCTTAATAAGCTTTCCCCATAAGGAGAGTTTTGCCAGTAATTGCCACGCTTGGCAAGCGGTTTGGAAACCGCAGTTAGGCTTTTAGAGATATTTTAAGAAGGATGCTGCTGCCCATCCCTCGCCCTCCCTTAGTCGACTCTTACGACACCCACGGGAAAAGAAGGGGTGGCCTATTTTATGCCGGGACGACACGGCGACTACTTACTCTTGAAAAATGAAAAAAAAAATATTAGGTTAGTTACATTGGATACACACACATACAATAAAATAATAGAAATTTATAAAGATTCGAAAAAACTGGTTCCCTCTCACAGAAATGGTTTTTTATTTTTCTCAGAACCGGTTTATTCCATTTGACAACTATATAAGGTAAAATAGAATTTGATAGAATATGGGACGAGCACCCATCTATATGAGGGGAAGAGATTACGATTATTTATAGGAGAACAATACATCATATCCGAGCAACATCTACGCGGCCTCCTTTAGAAACCATCGTAGTTAATTCCTAGTTATTTCACCACGATAGTCCTGACACCATCTTCATCTATCATCCATATTTTAGTACCGCGTCAGCGTAAATCGTTAGCGCAGGCATGGTTACCATTCCAATTTCATCTCATGGCCACCCACCTGTTCCTGATACTCCTTCTTCGACAGCCAGAAGTTGTCTCTGTTCTTGCAGACCTCGGCGAGCACAGCGCCGCCGATGAACACCATGTCTTTACGTCTCGGAGGATCTTCGATGCGGATTTTGAATTTCTGGAAGGAATATAAACAGTCTTTCAAAAAAAGCGTTCACGCTCACTTTTTTACTTTATCCGAGCAATAAGTGCCTTATACTATTCTCAATTTCGTGTATAATATAGTATATATCATATATGTGTAAGTATATTTGTTATTTATATATATTTATTCGTTTATATATGTAATTTTAGTATGTATGTATATCAATAATTACTAGTACCGCATTCGAGTATTCTGACACTCCCCTATGGTTGACTGGGAGAGAATGCTTTTAGCATTAAGTCCGCCATGTACACATATTTGTACTAATGAATAAATAAATAAATATAGAAGATTTAGAATCCCATTTTAGGGTTTCGAACAGAAATGGTACAGGGAATATTTGTGGTATAACTTTGTGGGTGAGTCCATCTGTCACAATCCTATCATCCTCATCATCTCGGCCGTAATCCGTCCACTGCTGAACAAAGGCCTCCCCCATAGACTGCAATGAAGAGTGGTGCTGCATCCACTGACTCCCTGCAACCCATTTGAGGTCGTCACTCCATCTAGATAGATAATCTTTATTACCAGTAATAATATTTAAAAAATAAAAAAAAGAAAAAGAAAACAATGATGTTTTAAGAGGGATGCTGTTGCCCATCCTTCGTGCATTAATCCGCCTTAGCGTGGCGACTACAAGCTAAACCCCCCAAGGGGGAAGCTTATGTTCATCAGTGGACAGTTAAAGGCTGATGTGATGATGAGTTCCTATTGAGTTTCTAAGTTGCATAAAAGAATTAAACTCACCGCCAGTTTGTCACAGTCGTTCCTCAGCACCCTCTCCAGGTACAGCTGCTTGATCTCGCGCTCGAGCCGCGACGGCAGCCCCGGGTACATGGTGGACCCTCCCGATAGCACTATGTGTTTGTACAATTCGTTCCTCATGTCTATGTCCGCCGCCTGCCGTTGAAGAAACAGCTTTTATTGGTAACAAACTGAACTTCTATAAAAAAGGTTTGTGAAGTACGTTTCAAGTAACTTTGATGTTTTTTTTTTATAGATGAAAATGGAATAGTAACCCCGTCTGTGCTAACGGGATACGCTGGCGGAGCACCAGTGAAGGGTGATAGATGAGAATGAAAACAGGCCAGTTAGCCCATCATGATGAGTTCATCAGGAATTAACCATGATAGTTTCCAGGGGGAACCGCAAGTAGGTCGACCTGGTTGGGTATATTGCTAGCAATGGGATTCTCAGTCTCCATTATTAACAATCCCTTTCCCCCCCGTAATTTTGATATTATTTTAAAAACAGTTATATTTTATTTGCATATGGGGTCCAGTCCAGCCCCATTACTAGCAATATACCACATCAGATCGACCTCCACGTGGTTCCGCCAGCAAACCATCGTGCTGAATTCCAGGTGTATTCGTCACAATCGGCTAACTGATCTGCCTTTTCATTATCACCTTTCATCCCTCTCGCTGCCCCGCCAGTGTATACCGTTAGCGCAGGCGTGGTCAGAATTCCACTTTCGACAATAAAAAAAATTCAGCCCTTGGTCATCGCATACCCGATAGTATAATAGATAGACTGAGTTTTTTTTTTAAATGGATGATAATGGAATGGTAATCCCACCCGCGCTATCGGTATACACCGGCGGGGCACCAGTGAAGGATGATAGGTGAGGATGAAGCAGGTCAGTTAGCCCATCGTGACGAATTCAACAAGAATTGTTCACGATGGTTTCCAGGGGAAATCACGTGGAGGTCGACCTAATAAGGTATATTGCTAGCAATGGGGCTGTCAAACTCCATTGCTAACAATCCTTTTCCGCCTAGATAGACTGAGTTACCATTACATCTTACAAAAGGATTTATAAATATAATTACTTGCTTTTTTCTCAATCAAACGTAAACGATTGTACGGATTTAAATGAAATTTCGTACACAGGGTATTTTTTTTTATAATACAGGGAGTCAACGAGCATACGGCTCACCCGATGGTAAGTGACTACCGCCATCTTCGATTACCCGCAACATCAGAGACATTGCAGGTGTGCTGCCGGCCTTTTAAAAAGGATAATACTCTTTTCCTGAAGGTTACGATGTCGTATCGGTTCGGAAATACTGCTGCTCGAAGTTGTTCCAAAGCGTCGTTGTGCGCGGTAGAAAGTGCTTTGAAAAACGCACGGTGGAGGACCTAGCACGTAGAATACGTTACATACTGCATCACACAGGCGGAACCGCGGTAAACAGCTATTGTAGGTTCTTTAAAAACTACATTTTTAAAGAAACTAACAAATTACCTACTACACATTATAGTGTCACATATCATAAGAAAATCTTACCTGTATAGTATTGAACACAAGTTCAGCGATCCCCTGACCCTCCACATTGATGAGGTGGGGCTGGAACAGTGCCTCGGGAGCCTCGAATCGTTCTCCGCCAACTTTGATCACTCGGCCGTCTGGTAACTGGAATACATACATACATACATATCTGTCACGCCTGTCTCCCATTAGGGTAGGCAGAAACAATGGAACGCCAAATGCTTCGATTCAAACAAACCTCTTTCGCTTCTTCCACATTCATCAATCTTGTCATACACGCTCGTCGGTTACGGGTACTTTTAATTTGGCCCTTCTTCAGCACGTCGCCTATTTGGTCGACATACGTCCGTCTAGGGCGGCCCCTACCGACATCTCCATTCATTCTTGCTCGATAAATCTCTTTCGTAATTCTTCTTTCATCCATCCTCTCCAAATGACCAAACCAACGCAACATTCCTTTTTCGATTTTGGTCACTACATCGACTTTCAGTCCATACTTCTCTCTAATCACACTGTTTCTTACTCTATCTGTAACTGGAATATAAATACATTTTCACAAACGACCATAATCCCTAGACCCTCCCTCTTGAAACATCTCCAAAGCCTAACTGCGGTTGTCAATCCGCAATCGCAGATAGTTGCTGTTTCCAGATTTATTCATGAATTTGATTCGGTAACCCACTGACCGGACATCCCGCGATTTCCGCATGCTCTCATTTTTTAATGTTACTTGACGTTGTTATCCCGCCATTTTTGTTTTGCTAGATTCATATTGTTTCCTCAGAACCTCGCTAGATGGCTAAATACTCATACTGCTATTTGTTGTCAAAGCGATGTGTTTTAGCGTTGTAAAAAAAAATACGCAATCAGAAGGTTAAAGCTGCGCTCAGTTAGCAGTGCAAGAGAAATCGCAGCAGACGACTGACTGCGCCATAAAGATCGAGCGAATAAAGACTTTAACACAGTGTATTAATGTCTTTTTTTTTATACAACTTAGAGTGGCAAACAAGCTGACGGCCCACCTGATGGAAAGTGGTAACCGTCGCCTATAGACATGAGCAGTACCATGGGCATAACAGAGTATACTGTTTCGCCCATGATACCGCCCATGCGTTGCCATTCCTGAGGACTCAGGTGTTATTCCTCTGTACCCTGTAAATTCACGCCATATCCCACCCTTCAAACCGAAACACAGCCATGCAAACACAACTGCTTCAAGGTAGAAACACGAATGGAACAGAGGTACCCAAGCAAACGACTTTTGTACAAAGTCTCCCTCTGTCTCTTTTCTTCCACATAATACACCTAAATTCATCACAAATGGTAACACTTACGGTATATGGTTCGACGAGTACTGTGGTCTCCCACGCAAGCTTCTGCTCCTGTTCAATGTTGTATCCGATATAGCATAGCTTTTCCTTCATCATACGGACCGTCTCGAAGTCAGCCGAGTGGTTGAACGCATACCCGCGCAGTAACAGTAACTGTGAAATAAAAATCACTGTGATTTTCACATTTGAATAGAGTGTTTTTATAACAATATGCAATAAGTGTCTAATTTTTATAATATAATAAAATTGCCACTAGACGATGACTATACCTGGGAGATATTTAAGAAAAATTTTAAGATATGTGGGGTCTTATTTATCTCTTTATTTTTTTATACAACTTAGAATAACAAACAAGCTGACGGCCCACCTGATGGAAAGTGGTAACCGTCGCCTAAAGACATGAGCAATACCATGGACACAACAGAGTATACTGTTTCGCCCATGATACCCCCCATGCGTTGCCATTTCTGAGGACTCGGATGTTATTCCTCTGTACCGCATAAATTCACTGTCATATCCCACCCTTCAAACCGAAACTCAGCCATGCAAACACAACTGCTTCACGGTAGAAACACTAATGGGACAGAGGTACCCAAGAAATTTACTTACAGCTATTAGTTTGCATGGCTGTGTTTCGGTTTGAAGGTGGGATATGGCAGTGAAATTACAGGATACAGAGAAATAACACCTAGGTCCTCAGGAATGACAACGCATGGGCCCCCATGCATTGTCATTCCTGAGGACCAGAGTATACTGTTTCACCCATTATAGGGCTATCATGGACGAAACAGTATACTCTGTTATGTCCACAGTACTGCTCATGTCTATAGGCGACAGTTACCACTTTCCATCAGGTGGGCCGTCAGCTTGTTTGCCATTTTAAGTTATATAAAAAAAAAGTCACAACAGTGTATTTAAATCTGTGTTACCTTTATGAGATACCTGGTGATATCTCTGCCGGCTATATCCAATCTCCTCGTGAGGTGAGGCAACGCAAACTCTTCGTACACCGGACATATGTGGGTCACTCCATCACCTGAAATTGACACGTCATTACTGGTAACACAGACTATGGGATATTTATTTATTTATTTAACTCTTTATTGCATCATAAATAAAAATATACAATGACAAGTGAATAATTCAAATGAAATACAGTAACATAAATACAGATTGAAATATACACATAAAGGTACAAAAGGCGGTCTTATCGCTAGGGCAATCTCTTACAGACAAAGGATATGTGTAATATGGATACTGATCTGATAACTATATATTGGATATATTATTATATATAACTATATATTTGAATATATTTCTCTGGATATTGATAGCGGAAAAAAGGTTATTACCTATTTTGATTCTACCTATATCGGTTGAATATTTTTGAATATGTCAAAAGTCTGTTACCGATATTGCTTTTTTGATAACAGACTTTCAACCTATTCGTTATTGGATCATTATATATATATATATATATATATATATATATATATATATATATATATATATATATATATATATATATATATATATAATATATATATATGACATAGAATGGCAAACAAGCTGACAGTGGTAACCGTCGCCTATAGACATGAGCAGTATCATGGACTGTTCGGGGGGAAAAGGATTGTTAGTAATGGAGACTGAGAATCCCATTGCTAGCAATATACCCTATCAGGTCGACCTCCTTGCGGTTCCCCCTAGAAATTATCATGGTTAATTCCTGATGAATTCATCATGATGGGCTAACTGGCCTGTTTTCATTCTCATCGATCACCCTTCACTGGTGCCCCGCCAGCGTATCCCGTTAATGCAGGCAGGGATACCATACTATTTTCACCAATAAAAAAAAATGCATTTCAGGTCGTCATTCCATCTAGTGGGGGGGGTCGTCATACGCTGCGTTTGCCCATACGCGGTCGCCACTCAAGACTTGCCCTCAAAACTTAGTTATATTTTCTTTGAATTTAACTTCTATTAAATCGTATTGAAACGGTCTATAAGTAAGTTTATATACTAAGTAAACAAAGAAACTCTGTTTCATACCTATAATATAAAAATGAATCGCTGAATGTGTTGTTAAGCACAAATCTCAAAAACAGCTGAACCGATTTACGTTATTTCTTTTTTTAGAATAATCCTTGAAGTACGAGGTCGGTTGTTACGGACAGAGAAAAATTTAAAAAATTTGCCTGAAAAAGTCTAAAAACAACACTTTTCAGGTTTTCCCATACAAACGATTCGTAATATAACATAAAAGTCAATTTGAACTTTATTACCATTACCATAAAGTTCAAATGTTAGTGGAGAGGTTCCGGGAGAGCAAAATAATTGAGTGACATTAATATCGTATAAATATTGATGACAGATTTAAAACGCAGGGACGGCGTCGCTGTTTAGTATCAGCACTGCCTCCACGCGAAGCCAGGGGGGGTACCTAGTTTATAATATTAATAAATATTTCGGAATGAGAGTTCTTGTGAATAAAAAAAAAAACAAATAATATTTTTAATGAATAAATAAATAAATAAAAACAAATAAATTACCCGAATCGACCACCACACCAGATATGAGCCCTTGGGCGTACAGCGTGAGGACAGCCTGTATCGCTATGTACGCGGAATCGAACCCGTACTTCTCGAACATAACCTGCAATCACAATTGAAAATAAATATGGACCTTTACTAATACAGTTATTTACGAATCAAATTGTTTTTATTAAAATAAATTATTTCATTTTTTAACATTAACCAAGTATGTTGAAAATTATGTTCTAAAAAAAGAAATTACACATTTTTGTATCAATAATAACAAATATTGGATGTCTATTTCGTATTACAAATGCAATAAAGGCCATTTTACAGCACATATACTTTATTTACGGACTTATTTATGTACGGAATCCTCGGTGATTGAATTCAATTCGCACCTGACCGTGATTTTTTTTACTTTTTGGGATAAAATGAGTTTTTATCCCAAAAAGTAAAAAAAATCACGGTCAGTTGGAGCAAACATTTACAAAACATTTACAAAAAATTAAACCAAGTCAAATAGAATCAAACCAAAACCGACTTCGATCATCTTCTCCCTGTTCTTGGTGGGGTTCATGGGCGGCTCGGTGAGCAGGATCTTCGTCTCCTTTGGGTCCACGTTCATCTTGCTGGGGCCGAACGTGTAGTCCCAGACGTGGCACATGTCCTCCCAGTTACGCACCACCTAGGTACAATGAGTATTAAAAATAATATTAAATATATATAATTTTGTTTTTCTGTTTTCTTTTTACTGTAATACATTATGTATGTATTTTTTTATGCAACATTATTTAGAATGGCAAACAAGCTGACAGTCCACCTGATGAAAAGTGGTAACCGTCGCCTATAGACATGAGCAGTACCATGGACATAACAGAGTATACTGTTTCGCGTATGATACCCCCCATACGTTGCCATTCCTGAGGACTCTGATGTAATTCCTCTGTACCCTGTAAATTCACTGCCATATGCTATCCTTGACCAAAATACAGCCATGCAAACACAACTGCTTCACGTAGAAACACGTTGACAGATGTGCCCAAACAATGGACTTTTGTACAAAGTTTCCCTCTAGTATTATATGACTAATAAAAAGAAATATAATGTAGATTATATGTAAATTTTCCATATTATTAAAAATTTGCACGCCAACATAGAGGCATAAATTTAAAACGCATTACCCTCTATTCTTAAAGTCGGTTGAAAAATAAACAGTACACTTACCCCATTTTCCATCGGATAGCTGACTTCCAGCATGGATCGAAGCTGTGACGCTTCATCTCCCACCATCAAATCCTGCAAAATCAACATAGCCATGTTTGAAACATAAAGTAATAAAGTTAGAATCTTTGTCTGTACAAAGAAAATATATTAGAAATACTAATGCATAAGAGTAACAAAGCCAAAAACAATTGTTTTTAAAAATTTTATATGCCTATTTACAACATACTCCAAACTACACTAAAACAAATGCATAAAATTAGATGTTCTCTCCACATTTATATGCTAAAAATATTTTTAACTAAATTAGTACATATATTATTAATTATTTAGTAGTAAACTTAATAAACAAAATAATTAAGTTCATTATTTTTAATAAACAAAACAGCTGTATATAAAGTAACAGCTACTTAGAAATTACAAGCGCTTTATGTCTATGAGCTAAGGTGGAATAAATATTCTTTAAGAGCACTCATAACTTCAGCTTACCAAAGTGTGGAGACGTTATAGTTATCTGTAAATTTTCAATAAATAATATCCAGGAAATCCACAAAAAAAAATCGACTTCAATTATGGCTACATCAGTTGATTTAAAAAGTAAAATTTAAAGACAACTGCATGGGGTTCTTTGAATAGGGTGTATTAAGCTTTTTTAAGTGTCGGCAACGCGAGCATGACATCCCAAGTATTATAGGAGTTCGTAAGCTATTATAATCTCGTTTGCCATGTGACGGGCCGTATGCTCGTTCGTCGCCATAGGTGAATAAAAAAGAAACTATTGAACCGATTTTGATAAAATTTCTATGGGACCAATCTGTAAGTATATCCTTTCAGATAAAAAAAAGAACTTTCTAAATCGGTTTACAACTGACGGAGTTCTAAGGTACCAAACATAAAAAAAAAAATACAACCGAATCGAGCCTACTTCTCCTTGAAGACGGTTGAAAACAATTGAAATTTTTTTAATGTTTTTAATTGATTATTTAAAAAAGTGCTTAGCTAGCGAACCAAAAGGTTACTTATACAATAATATTTTACCAAGCTATAACAAAAAAAAAAAAAAATTTAATGACAAATATGTATTTATAAACTTTCAAAACAAAATGTCATGTAGATGTAATATTTTTAATAGTAAATGTATATATAACATATTCCATTATTAGTTTCAATTCGCTAACAGAGCACTTTTTAAATTATCAGTTTAAAACATAAAAAAAAAAAATATTCTTTTATATTTGAAAATGAACAAATTATTGAGTCTCTCTCTCTCTCTTTCTCGTCTTTGATCGCATATAAAAAAAGAGCCTATTCCTTCCTAAAAAGACCGACAATACACCTGCAATCTCTCTGGTGTTGCAGGTGCTTACGGGCGGCGGTAATGACTTACCATCAGGTGAGACGCATGCTCGTTTGCCCCCTATGTTAAACAAAACATTGCCCCCACTTCGGTTAGCCAAAATATGACTGCTCTTTAAAGCGGTAAAAGAAACATTAGGCTGTGTAAAAGCGGCTTGACGATTTGTGTGCTAATTGTGTTGTGCGACCTAGAAGCAGAGTTCTAAACTTTCTTAAGCTAAAACACACCTATAGGGGTGAAGGGATTGTTAGTTAATAGGGATTAGTAACCTCATTGTTAGCATAATACCCTATCGAGCAGCTCGACCTCCACGCGTTTCCCCCTACAAACCATTGTGAACAATTCTTGTTGAATTCGTCACGATGGGCCAACTGACCTGCTTCGTCCTCACCTATCATCCCTTACTGGTGCCCCACCAGCGTATAAGTACCGATAACGCAGGCGAGGGTTACCATTTCATTATCACCCATAAAAAAAGGTACCCAAAGGTATAAAATATTCTTTAACTGAACTAGGGGTAATCGTGCTGGAGTCCATATCACTGTTTATTAGAATTATTTTGTTTAATTCCGCTACCATTTATCTTGGCACACGCATACTAATGATAGCGGAATTAAACAAAATAATTTTAATAATTTTATAGTATTTTGTTTTTATACAACTTAGGATGGCAAACAAGCTGACGGCCCACCTGATGGAAAGTGGTAACCGTCGCCTATAGACACGAGCAGTACCATGGACATAACAGAGTATACTCTTTCGCCCATGATACCCCCCATGTGTTGCCATTCCTGAGGACTCGGGTCTTATTCCTCTGTACCCAGTAAATTCACGCCATATCCTATCCTTCAAACCGAAACACAGCCATGCAAACACAACTGCTTCACGGTTGAAACACGAATGGGACAGAGGTACCCAAGCAATCGACTTTTGTACAAAGTCTCCCTCTGGTATATTTGAGTTTAAACTCCACGGAGGAGCCTGACCCCTTAAAAAAAGCTAATACGTACTCTTGAAGATGGGTCTTTAATAGTTGAAAGCCAGACAATTCTGGGGAGAGTACAGCCCACCTGGAGGGGAAGGTCCTTAACGCCAATGGATGTATACCATATAAGCTGTTCACTGCTGAACATGGGCCTCCCCAATTTTGGGGATTGCCAGTAGTTGACACGCTTGGCAGGCGTATTGGCAATCGCAGTCAGAATTTGGTATTTTAAGAAAGACGCTGCTGTCCATCTCTCGCCCTCCCTTAGTCGCCTCTTACGACATCCATGGGAAAGGAAGGGGTGGCCCATTTTGCTGAGACCACACGGCAATAGATGTACTGGTTGATAAATGCCAAATGTGTGTATTCCTAGTAAGTTTTACACGTTTGAAACTATCTAGTAATGTGAAGCTAATAATATCGCAATCAGAAATTATTAAATTTACGTTTTACAGTAAAATTGATAAAAGACAACACTTATCAAGAGTGTATAGAATAATTAAAGATTATGTCACAAAAAACCGATTTCAGTTGTGACAAAATCAATTATTTTGGCCTAAAAACTAAACAACTGAACCGATTTTGATAAAATTCCTATGGAACTAATCTGTAAGTATTAACTTTTAGATAAAGAAAGAATTTTCCATATCGGTTTACAACTGACGGAGTTACGAAGTAATAAACAGAAAAAAAATACAACCGAAATGAGAATCCCCTTCTTTTTGAAGTTACTTGAAAATTATAAAAAAAAAATAGTATTTTTCAATTCTAATAGTTTGCTGTTAACATTAGAAACAATAAGATAAAAGTACATATAATTAATATGAGTTAATGTGAAATCAATATAGAATTAATTTAAAAAGTAATTAGTGTCAAACACAACGCAGTTTCATAACAAAATTAAAGTTATGCAAGTATTTATTGTCTTCACCGACTATGACAATGTAAGATGCATGTAAATTTGTAAAAATTAAAAAAAAAACACTGAACATACAGAATGATATCGAAACCATTAGCATCCTTTGAAGAGAGCGCTCTATTAATATACGCACCATAGGAACATGGGGCGAACAACGACAATTTCAAACCTCCCATACCGACACATCGCGTTTAGCTCTTAAGTTACTACGGGAGACTCGACATTTTTTTATTTTGTTGAACTAGATATTATTTTTCGGAAGCACACACCACTGGTTAGTTAATTAGAATCATTTTGTGTCTTATTTAATTTCACTAGCAACACATCAATGGCGACCAGTAGAAAAACGCCCATTAAAAAACACTCATTTCAAAATGTGAGCATATTCTATTAAAATAATTAAACAATTTTCAATATTTCCGAATGATCATTTAAAGAGTTATCTGGAGTCTTATTATTAGTGCTTAAAACCTAACAATTGTACAGATTAAATTGTACTGTCCTGCAAATGGCTACCAAAAACCATAGACAAAACAGGCCAGCATATAGTCACGTGACCTGGAGCTGTCAAACTTTTAAAAGTGTGTCATAAGCCCCTTAACAGCAAAGTAAAATATTAATCCTCAAACATTATACATATAAATAAACTACAAAATATTTAAATGCTTATTCATTTTTTGCTATTAAAATGTTCTAATATTCAATTCATAATTTCTTTTAAGACATACATATATTAAAATTTACTTTCACTAAATCTATACAGTTACTAAATCTATACATTCTCAAGCAGATGCCAAAAATAAAAATAAAAAAATTGTAAAGTAAAAAAAAAATGTAATTTCCTTATTAAAATTAAAGATCATTAGAGTCTAATTGTGATATTTACAATACTAATTAAATATAAATAAAAAAGCTATTTCTAATGATGTAACAAGCTTTCTATGGCTTTTCTTAAAATATCAGCCAAAGCGATTAACTAAGATATATCCGTTTTTCTATACTTGGTATAATTAATAAATCATTTTGCCATATATTAAATAATTTTAACACATGGCAATTTAAAAAGTTTGTATTAATTGATTATATATTACTGTACAAAGGTAAGCTAACATTTTTATTGTTAGCAAGCTTTTTTATCGACCATCGTGTTACAAATTACTAACTGTGCCAAGTATAGGAAAATAAATTATATAAAAAAAAAACAAATTTTCTTAAAAATTAAAGAAATATTTCGATTAAAAGATAGTGTTAAAATCTCTATGCCCTCTCTGAGTGTGAGTTAATAAGGAAGCTTGCTGTCAATTTGTCCCGTTGAGGGCGCCACTGTTTTAACATAACGTAATGGAGGAAGGGATTGTTAATAATGCGGACTATAAGTCCCATTGCTAGGAATATACTTCGTCAGGTCGATCTCCACGACTTTTGTTACGTCAACTTTGTTCCCTCCAAAAAAATTCAAAATTAATCTGTACTAACAGGTGGGAAAATGTTTTATTAAAAATTTACTTTAAACAATAATGCCAGCTCGCTACGTTCGTAATAATTGTTTGTATGGGCGATACTGTTATTTTTATCCAAACACTATCTTTCTCCCGCTACACCGTACGCGTAGATTTACGAAGTAGCAAAAACAAAGGAATAGACCACTTCTAGAAAGATCAAAATGAAACATATACTAGGGGGTCTACCATGAAATTCCGAAATTTCGGACTCAATTTCGTGTTTTTGTTTATACCAAAATCGGACCAATAAATGGAGTTTAACATTTCGTTCGTCATACATTCTATCATAATAGTCCAAAGAAACAATATTTTAACATTTTTAATATTTCCAAACGACTTGTATTATATAATTTTAACATCAAATTTGTGTTTCGTTTGGCTCCGAAATTTCGGAAAACATTTCATGGTGGGCCCTCTGATTTTAAGTTAGACTTTCGGGGCATCACTGTGAAAACCGTATCTAATTCGGTGGAGTAGTTTTTAATGCCGGAACAAACATACAGACAGACAAAGATATGAACATTTTGACATTTCCATTGCGATACGCGAACAAACATATAGACAGATAGACAAAATTTGTTTTAACTTCCACTAATCTTATTATGATTCATATCAATTTTTCCTAAACATCTCCCATGCATAGACTTCTAGTTGCAATTTTATTATATTAATAAGAGAGTACATAAAGCATATTCTCTCTCTCTCTCTGTTTAAGTTTATTTTCCCGCCGTTATGTTATGTTTTTAATCACTATTAGTAAGTAGGCTCCTATTTCTTGTTGTTTATGTTTATTTACAGTTGGCACAGCTTTGCACAAGCCTCCCTATTAGCTGTTACTCACGATACTCTACAGAAGTTACAGTACAGTATCAACACAGTGTTACCTGCACTACTTCTGGATCGAATGCCTGGCGAGCATGAAATTGTAAATGCACATCTCATATATAATTTTCATATTCAAAAATTCTTATTTCGCACTGCAACTTTAGTAGTTCCAGTATTTGAAAATAGATGGAGCTTTTTACATTATTATCAGTGATTTAGTAACAGACTTAACTTTTGATTTATTGTTATTCTAAGTATAATTTAAGTATTCAAGTGTTCAATAATTTAAGCTGAAATCTAACATTGGATCCAAAATTAAAAAGAAATATTGTTACTCACTTTAAAATGTATATATGCATGTTTTATTCGTTTGGGTAGGCTGCAATGATTTAAACTAATACTATCTATATTAATCTGAATAAATTTATAATTATATTTTATTATATATTTGCCAAATTATTAACCATGTAAAATAATCTAACTAAAAACTAAACTGTTTATAATTACTCTTCATCTCTCCATTCAAAGGTTGCCTGGAAGAGATCACTCTTAATGATACGGTCGCCCATTGTTTTCTCACTGTGATTATTTCTTGTAATTGTTTGTATCTATAATAAGTTTACTATTATAATATTTTAGAGGAAACAATAAAGAGTATCTATCTATCTAACTTGTTAATGAGTACTTATAACTTGACTTATGTATAAAGTAAATATAATTTAACAAATCCATGTGTAGATGTAATAAAATTACAATGTTTCATGCCTTTCCAATTTCCAAAATATTGATAATCAACAGACATTCACACATGTTCGAAAACACAGCTAATATTATGTATGATAACAGATATATTATTATTAATTTTTATGTAAAATATATACATATATTTGTACCGTATTTGATCTTACATGTGTATGTATGATAAACACCTTAATAATATGTACAAAATTCACATAAACAATAATGTGAGTAAAACATATTTTACCAATGTTACTATGTGCATAATTTAACCCTTTCTTTTTCTTTGGAGGGGAAGGGATTGTTAGTAATTAGGACTACCAGTCCCATTGCTAGCAATATACGCTGTCAGATCGACCTTTACGTGGTCTCATCTGGAAACCATAATGCTAAATTCCTGGTGTATTCATCACGGTGGACTAACTGACCTGCCTTTTCATTCTCACTATCATTGTTCACTGGTACCCTGCCTGCATATGCTGTTAGCGCAGGTGGGGCTACTTTACTATTTACATCCATTACAAAAACCCCTTACTTTTTTTTTATATATTAGTCCAAACAACACATTATTTTATAGAATGCAATTAAATTTCCATCTCATTTCATTATTATTATTTCAAATATTTCAACAATAACAATTTGCATGCTTTTTAGTATAAAATAAACACATTAGTTAAAATAATTTTCAAAACCGTGCTTAGATTTTACCAATTCTTACTCCGACACACATTTCCTGTAAAATATACACTATGGTCAATTATTATATGGATAACATTGAAAGGCAATTAATGTATTAAGATTTTCAAAACCTTCACACTCCATTATGTAAATATGCCTTGATTCAATTAATTCCGAACCTATACATGTTTTAACAATTTCTAACACTAACCTTATTAAGCTATTTGTACACAGTGAAATCGAAATCATTAGCATGCTTTCAATAAAGTGTTCTGTCTATTAGTGAAACTAAAGATTTTTTACTAAAAAAAACATGAGTTGAAAAATCAAGGCCCGTGCCCCACAAAACGTGCTGACTTCAATTGTTGTCACAATTAACTATTATTATGATTTTATTTTATCAACCAGTTATTTTGGTCTAAAAATTAAACTACTCAACTGATTTTGATAAAATTCTATGGGACCAATTTATAACTATATTCATTAACTATATCAATTTGTAACTATATTAAATTTATTAATTATTTATGCTATCAATAATTTCAATTTCACCCTGTGTAATGCAATAATATTTATGGAATTTAGAAATTTATAGGTGATTATCGTTTGATGTTGAGTAAAATGTATGTGAAGTAAAATTTCATATATTTATTTAAATAAATCAGAAGACTATACTCTATTACACTATTGTACCCTTTCCATTCTTTTACTTTACATAAATTTAAAAAGAAAACATTTTATATGAATGAATGAATGAATATTTATTTATTCTATAGGTATGATATGATATGTTATTAATTAAATATCATTATTTGTATAATAAAAAAGAAAAAGAAGTAAATGTTTTGAACCATTGTAGTTTATTTAATTCAATTTTCTTTAGATAAAAATTTAATTTCATTAATATAATTTTCTTTTAAAGTGCACAAAAGATTTTTTTCATCCACTACATATGAGGACATTAAAGGTGACTCGTAAAGAAATACACAGTGTAAAAAAAAAATAAGCTATCAAATGTGAAAAAAGAATGGAAAGAGTATGCACTGAAAATTACTATAATGAGATTAATATACAAATTTTATTAAGTAGGCAATTCATAATTTAATCTAATTAAAATAATAATGGCAATGATTCATTTACCATAGACAAATATAGAAACTTATTCATGTACAATTACAGTAATTATAAAACTTCCTCATTAATTGTTTTTATAATCACAGTTATATTAGTTACAATAAAATTATTATTTCTAAGTTTTTACCTAAAAAAATATTTCAAACATGTATGGTGTCTGGGCCCAGTCAATGTACACCATAAATAAAAAAAGTAACACTAACTATATTCATGTTAAAGGTAATACACATTTTCTCATAAATTTGATAATATTAATGATATTTATGTATGTACATAAAAACATATATTTGTCAAAATTAATTTTAAATTCAAAATTTGATTCAAAATCTTATAGGTACATCAATCAATAATACTTTGATTAACTTTCTAAAAACTGTAAAGTACATGAAATTTCCTCAGTGTATTTTTAATTTAGTAATTTTTTCTTTGTTCTTATTTCTACCTACCCTAATGGGAGACAGACATAATATATGTATGTCTTTTGATATTAAAATTAAATATTGTAAAAATTATATTCAAAACAAGAATCATAAAAAAAAAAAACATTTATTTATAGAAAAAAAGATTTGTACACTTACACAAATATATATAATAAGTACTTAGAAGTGTTACATTGTTAAATACATTTACAGTTTATACAATGATTTATCATGATTTTAAATTCTAATTTTTTTAATTTACATAGCATGTGATGTGAAAAATCCAAAAATATTTTTTCTAGCAATAAACTGTTTAGTAAAAGAATTGTATTCTATTCTTATAGTAATCTTCATTTTTTCTTTTTCAGTTTTATGAGATACTGTACAATGACTAAGCCCAAAATAAAACAGCTTTTCAAAAATTCAAGATACTGTGAAAAATTTTTGTTTTATTTGTTTTTTTATGTTTTGAAAGTAAAATTAAACCAAATTCTTATTATTCATTTTACATAGATTACCTACTCTATTATACGTAATTATTTTATTAATGTTATTTAAAAATAATAAACAGTGGATACCCTTAGTATAAAATATAAATCAACAATATCGAAGTCAATCGCCCCTAAGGGTATCTACTGACCGGGGGGTAATATTACAGCACAAATTATTGCTTGAGAGAACATACCTTTACGTCGATATCACCAATTTTATTCTCCGCGCGAATGATCGGCCTCCCGACCATTGACGGGAATATGAAAGCGGGGAAATTGCTGCCAGCGTAGCCGCATTTCACAAACTGAAAACGATAACACAACACTCATTAGGCTGACTCACAGGAAACATTAGAACACATTTTGTTACGATTTTTAACACTTACACCGGTGCCGTTATCACAAACAATCACTTTGCGTCCCTGGTCATCCATTATATTGATATTTTTTCTATGTTTAACTTATACAGATTTATAATTATTTAAAAACAGGGAATATAAAAAAATTTAAACTATATACAAGTTTCTAGGACACCACCCCACTGACTGACAGTGACTGAAGAATGACACTATAACTGACTGATTGTTTATGGTAACTTCAGTAAATAACGAATTTGACAGCTTTGACAATTTACAATAGTAACTGTCAATGTCTAGCAATTTTTTATCTACTACGCGATACCTAAAGTTTCACGTGTATTGTGCTATTATATTATTGCAATAGTTTAATAATTAGAAAAATATATGAATAAATTTTTTTAGACTTTAAATTACAAATATGAAGCATAAAAGGTTTGAAGAAAATATACTGGTGGATGAGGCGTACACAGACTACGGTAAACCAGACAAAAATGCCGATGTAAAAAAGAGCCAAGGTATTGCGAAGAATTTCGCAGAAACTCTAGAATATGAGGAGAAGAAGAAATGGTATCATCAGGCAAGACATTTTTTACCATCCATTTTATTAGTTTTTATTGCATCTGCTGAATATATGTATGCTTATGTTTTTAGTCAAAATTTTGCATCATAGAAAGGTAACCTTTTTTAAACAAACTACTAAAATAATTATTTCATCATCATCATCAATACCTAACTAGAGGACAAAGCTATTGGCGTTGTGTGACACTTATCAATAAACTGACACGAGGAAAAATTTATAATTCACCTTCTCAAAACAATTCAAGTAACTTAAAATCTATTTTTTTATATTTTATATATTTAAAAATAAACTTACAATGTTTTATTATAGGTAAATAACAATGCATGAAATTAATAAAGTAAATGAATAATAAACACATGAATCCTGCAGTCGCTAAGGTACCATCCAGAGGCTTGTGGCAATCTAAATAGCCTGTTAATATTTTTGAACAATCTAGATTGTCTAGACTTTTAAGTACAATGGCCTAATTAAAATAAATTTATATTCAGTGATATAAAAGTATTTATAAATATTAATAAGTCATCATCATCTTCCTACCCTTATCCCAATCATTTGGGGTCGGCGTAATATGATTTTATCCATATTACAAAAAGATATGGTTTTTATAAATATTAATAAGTATCATAAATAAACTAGTTATTATTTTATATGGCTCTTTCTTTACTTATCCTTACAATGAGGCTACCTAATGTGACCTGCTAGCATGGGGGAGTAACATCCCCTTTACTAACAATTCCTTTCCATCCTACAATTAAGGTGGGACTATTAAATAAAAAAGTGATTCCTTGATACTTAACTTGCACTGTCTTTAACTGTTTGTTTTTTTTTTTTACTTTTTTTACTTTTTCTTTAATTTTGTGTACATTATCATTTTCAGATGCCCGAGGAACCAAATGTTACTACAAAAACAATATCAACAGAGCAGGTGGAACAGTTGAGAAAAGAGGCAAACAGTGCACTCCATGGGGATACCATGGCATATGAAACCAGTTAGTAAACATATATAAGTTATTTATAAAAATGACAAAAGTCCTATAAGAACATTTTAACTATTAAAATCTTTTTTTTTTTTTAATTATTAATTTTCAATTTGAAAATAAGTTACAAAATAATCTAATAGTCAAAATATTTTTGTATGGTTTTAATCTTAAAAATAACATAATGAATTAACAACCAATGGGAAAGAAAGGTTTCTGAGTTATGGCAGTCTATGGGGAAGGCATATGTTAAATAGTGGACAGGTAATGGCTGATATGATGGTGATGATATTAAACATCATCAACCCATCATCGTCATCAAATTCATCTTGACCAACATTCAGAGAACATAACACATTTAGTTTCAATATAATAGAGGCACTTTTTATGGAAAATGGAGTGGTAAACAAACAGGTTGGTTGAAGGAAAGGTGTAATCATCGCCTATAAATATATTCAGCACCATAAATATCATATAGTGCACTATGAGCATTATAGCTCTGTCCATAAGGACAGAGGCATAATGTTCACAGGCATATAATACACTTTTTTTTTTAAATAATTTTCAACCATCTTTATGTTTATTTGTTACCTCTTGTCGCCTTAACGGCTTAACCAATCAGTATTAAATTTGGTATACTAGTATTATACGGGATAAAGAAGGACATAGGCTAGTTTTTAACAAACTTAGTGAATGTATCCCGGTCACGCGGACAAAGCCGCGGATAAAAGCTATTACCCTATAATTTCACTTGCGTCATCTATCACTATCTATGTCTATGTTTAGCACAGAAAATGTTCTTTTCTGTAATTTTTGTATTGTATTGTAAAATCTTTATTGTACATAATTCATACGGAATACATCAATCGATTTTATATATATAATTTATTAATATTTATTACTTGACATTGGATTACAGAAACAAACAGAAGTGGTTCATCTGATCACCAGTGGGCTAAGACTCTGCTGAACAAGGGCGCGATAGGAGATAGGGTTGCCGCTGCCACTATATTAATACAAGTATGTATTTTGAATTTATTTTATGGTAAAACAATTTAAAGAAAAAAATATATTCAATTGTTATTTGTGTTAGCCAATATTGCAAAAAGAATACTTTTTCAATCAAGCATTTATTATTTTTAAATTAGACAGTTTTTTTTGTAATGAGAAGAAAATGGAATGGTTACCATCTTACGTTTGCATTGTCATTATATGCTGGTAGGATACCAGTGAATGATAGACAGGTGACCTGTCTTGATAGCCCTTTCAGACCTGAACGATACTGGCGTGAGTTGTAACTTTAAAAAATTCTAAAACCGCGCGCAATTCATTTTTACGCACGAAGCTGAAATAACATGATAGTGAGATTCTTAAGTGCAGTAGTCTCGTGCGTGCCGGCAATATGGCTTGGCTCCAAAACACGAAAATGTATTTAATCTGAAAGAAAAAAAATCTTGGGTCTGAAAGGGATAAGGTGATGTGACTTGTCAAAATTTTTATCACTGACAAATCTGTCAAAAATTGATCAGGAATTAACTATGATGTCTAATGTCAATGTACACAGGAAAGGATTTGCCGCATGGCCCTGGCATAGAAAAGGCCACACTTTCCTTTCCCATGAGTGTTGTAAGAGGCGACTAAGGGTACTTAATTGTCGAGGAATGGACAGCAGCGTTCTTTTTAAAACATCACCAAAGCCTAACTGCGGTTGCTAACCTGCCTATAAAGCGTGGCAATATCTCACCTAGTGCTAGAATTATTTTTTTTTATTTTCGTAAACTATAATTTGTATTTGAATATCATAGTAGGAACAATAAAATTTATACAGTACGTAAAAAATAAATTAATAATGTTAATAAAATTCATTAAACGAATGAATGAATGGTTTATTTTCTCTTCACAAAATGTGGTATAAAGTGACAACTTGAGGTACAATTAGATATGTAAGACCAGTTTTGTGAGAGACTGGTGCTTGCGGTGGGTTTTGAAGAATCTATGTTACAAGTCGCGTTAAATAATATTATAAATATAAAAGTTTTATTTGTTACGTTTTCACGTCTAAATCGTTGAATTGATTTTCGTTAAGTTCTGGTATAGAAATAGATGGGACCCTGAAGATGATTATAAGTCTACCGGTCGTTAAAAATATCAAGGACGAAGTCGCGGGTAAAAGTTAGTGTGAATTTATAAAATTGATTTTTATATCCACTGTTTCCAGGACAATCCGATATACAATTTGACAGCGTTAAGGAATTTAATAAACAGCGTGAAGCCGGCTAAGAAAAAGGACGGCATTATTATCATTGGTAAGTAAATAGATACTGGTAATTTATCACTTATTTATTTTTTAAACATTGAATATTCAAATTTTATTGTATAATTTACAATAGTTGAGAAAACACATGGTTTTCTTTATATAAAGTGGTAACCATTGCCTATAAGCCTAAATACAACCAGAAATATCAAAGAATATACTGTGATGGCTTCATGTGTTTTTTTGATGGGTGAAAATGGTATGGTAACCTCGCCTGCGCTAACGGGATACGCTGGCGGAGCACCAGTGAAGGGTGATAGATGAGAATGAAAACAGGCCAATTAGTCCATCATGATGAATTCATCAATAATTAACCATGATAGTTTCCAGGGAGAACCGCGAGGAGGTTGACCTGGTTGGGTATATTGCTACCAATGGGATTCTCACAAACCCTTTCCCCCAGGCTTCATGTGTTACCATTCTTATGAACTATAATGTTTTATAATGGAATGGTAATCCTGCCTGCACTAACAGTATATGTTAGCGGGGTACCAGTGAGAGATGGTAGGTCAGTTGGCATATCTGGAATTCAGCACGATGGTTAACAGGAGGACCGTGTAGAGGTCGACCTGTGAACGAATTGGACGGATAAATTCAGACAGATGTGATGGTGTTGCGAGAATTGTGAGTTGGAAGGAGATGAGATTAGGAAATTACGGGATTGGGAGCCTAAAGCAGGTGTTCCTGAACTTCTAAGATAACGGAATGCCCAACAAAAACCTTTCATTTTATGGAACCCCATATCAATTGATTACAAATTAAAAACACTGTAATTTAAATAAAAACAAAAGTTTTCATCAGGTATTTTAAAATTGTAAAACTAAAGTTTCCTTTCATTTTTAATGTGAAGAATGAAATTGTTTTACTGTATAAATAAATTTGCGGAACCCTGATGACTTTTTTACGGAACCCACTTTAGGAATCGCTGACCTAAAGTATCATATTATATAAAAACTTTCAGATGCACTGTCCGAGCTGCTCGTATCTGAGCTGCTTATACCAAATGTGAAGTTACGCACCTTTGAGCAACACCCCCTGGGTCATATTGATGAGTTGACCTCTGGCAATAAGCAAGCCAAGAGGAACATACTGAAGCTGTGGTACTACGAAGATCAGCTGAAAGAACTGTATGGAAGTAAGTATATGTTTGCATAGCTGTGTTTCGGTTTGATGGGTGGGATATGGCAGTGAATTCACAGGGTACAGAGGAATAACACCGAGTCCTCAGGAATGGCAACGCATGGGGGGTATCATGGGCGAAACAGTATACTCTGTTATGTCCATGGTACTGCTCATGTGTATAGGCGACGGTTACCACTTTCCATCAGGTGGGTCGTCAGCTTGTTTGCCATTCTAAGTTGTATAAAAAAAAATATTTATTAAACTTTAATACATCTATAGAGTGTAAATGGCGGACTTAACTCCATATGGCGTTATCTACCAGTCAACCGTAGACAGGAATAACAGAAAATATAATTAACGGTGCAACGTGATAAACAATATTAAAACAGTAATTTAAAAATACATATTATAACTCACTCCACTTCCTTTTATTCCAATTCCTTTACTGTACAGGCAGTTCGCCTGTGGAACTCACTACCTACCTCTATTCGACGCGCTCAATCTCTCGCTAGTTTCAAAACCTCTGTTAAAGCCCATTATCTCTCCCTTTAAGTAACAATTTTTTCCCATGTTCTATCTTCATCTTCCAGTGTCACTCTCTCCTGTTGTATGTGTACTTTTAAGTTTGTGTATGTTTATGTATATATATGTATATACATATATATGTATATACATATATATGTATATATCTTTGTATATATTTGTTTATATATAATAGTACTAATATAATAGTGCGCCACCTACCCTTTATTTTTCTTTGTTTTCTCAATGTTCTCTACCCAAAGGTTGTCTGGAAGAGATTGCTTAGCGATAAGGCCGCATTTTGTATCATTTCTTATTACAGTTAAATGTGTTTACTATTTTATAAATGGTGCAATAAAGTGTAAATAAATAAATAAATTATACTGATGTTACGTACATTATACATATATACTGTCTGTTCCACCATCGCAACTGAATATGTTCACCATTGGAACATGGGGCGAATAACGTCAATTTTAAATCTCCCACACTAATACGATGTATTAGTACGACTAATACCATAATTTTAGACATAGTGCATTTAAATAAATACACATAATGTTAACAGAGATTTAAAAGAACTGTTGTTTTTCTTGCGGGCTCTTCCATAACAGATAACAACTTTACAAACTCTGCAGTAGATTAAAAAAAAATGACGATTTAAAAGTGCTTCTAAACAAATTTAAACAAAGGTGATTTAAATTTGATACGTCCAACTATTGAGATATTGAGTATGGGCTATTTCTTGTAGTATTTGCAATTTCTTGTTTAAAAAATTCAATAATGACAGAAAATATTTAAACCCATCTAAAAAGATGAATAACTTCCATATAAAGTGCTCAATTTTTGCTATTTTTTAATATTTAGTTAATTGTTTGTTTGTTTTATAGAAATTTAATTTATAAGGGACAGAGCGAAATATATGGGCTACTTTTTATTCTGTTAATCCTTACATTAATTGTCTTAACTATTCCTTATATAATGCAAATAAAGCATACTCATTCACTCATTCATATATTTTTATAGCAGTATAATTTTTTTCTTTGTGGTATTAAAAAAAAAACTACTTTGTTTCCAGCTTATGTGGAGGCGCTCAACAAATTTGCCCACGATTCAGTGGAAGCGAACAAGGAGAAAGCCGTGAGTGCTATGTCATATCTCCTGATGCATCATCCAGAGCGAGAGAAGGTGAGAATAATCATATACCTGCCCCTTATTATACATTATATGGATACTGTTTCTATAGAAATGCTTCGAGAAAAACGGGCCAACTTTTTTATACAATTTTGCGTGATAAATAGTTATGAGTGATTCCTTTATAAATTCTAACAAACAAAAAAAAAAAATAGAATCGAATTGAGAACATGAAGTATGGAAGTGGAAAAAATCGATACCATAGCAGGATCAGCGCGCGCGGAGTTTGCAATGAGACACCACTAATGTAATAGTTTACAGTGTGCCACGCTAGATGGCGGTGTTGTAAATATAAAACGCATTACGGTTTCGATGTAATAAAACACTGAGTACGAAGCTGAATCTTGTGAACGCGAAGCCCAAAGGGCTTTATCCCACTTCTGATAAAATTTTTGAATTGCCGACATTTTTTTTTTCTGTTGTCGGTGAGATTTTGCGATTTTTTTTATACAACTTAGAATGGCAAACAAGTTGACTGCCCACCTGATGGAAAGTGGTAACCGTCGCCTATAGACATGAGCAGTACCATGGGCATAACAGAGTATACTGTTTCGCCCATGATACCCCCTATGCGTTATATTTATATTACTTCCCCTTTTTTAGGGTTCCGTACTCGATCTAAAAATATAATTATCTAAAGATATAATTACATTATTGTCTTCCATAAAAAAAAAACTACCAGTTATTTTTATTTCAAAACTAAACAACTGAATCGATTTTTTATAAAAAATTCTATGAGATTAATTACTAAGTATACTGTTTCAGATTAAAAAAAAAATCCAAATCGTATTACAACTTGGATTTTTTTTGAACTTGGACAGAGTTATTAGATAACAAACGTAAAAGAAAAATGCAAATAAATTGAGAGCCTCCTCTTTGAAGTCGGTCACGGTAAAAGGTTACAGCATTTAACACTAGATGGCGATCTAATAAATTTAAAACGCTTGACGGTTTCGAAGTAACAAAATACACGAATACGAATACCAATGTTGTGAATGTAAAATACGTTGAAAAGCAAAGCGCTTATGTGTAGTGAAATTTTGCGATTTTATTTGTATTTTTGCTCATATTTAGGTTTCCGTAATAGTACAAAGTGCCGATAATTGAGATTGTCTTCCACAAAAAAAATTTACTCCAATTATGGTAAAACCAGTTTATTTTGACTTAAAAAACTACTGAACCGACTTTGATTTTCAAACCTGTAAATGTATTCTTTGAGGTAAAAAAAAGTATAGTAGTAAGTATATAAAGTAAACATAGAAAAAATACAATCGAATTGCGAACCACCTTTTTGAAATCGGTTGAATGGCCGTTTTATCCATTCGACAGTCCGTCCGTCCATCTGTCATACCGCTGTCATATCTGTCGTAGCGCTTTACCTCACCAACTACAAACTCTATTTACGACGACAATTTGGATTACTTTTCCATATAATTGGCCTGCACACATTACAAAAAAATATAAATACATATTTCTTTTTTTTTTTTTTCTCCTCAAAGAGAGGTGTAGTAAATTTTTTAAAATGCCCAAGTGGGAAATCACACGAAAGGATATCCTTTGTACATTTTAAAACCGTTTTGTGATTATTTTTATTGCGCGCAGCTTTTTTATTTTTAATTTAAAATGTTTATTACGTAGACATCCATTGGTTTTTCAAAATTCACACAACAATAGACTATATAGGCTTGATGCGGGATGAATCCGAGGTGAACTAGTGGAATAAAGTTTACAGCTTGTATATACTAAACTAGATGGCGTTGTTGTAAATTTAAAACGCGATATGCTTTGATTTTTCTATTCGCGACATGTTATTTGTCGGAGAACTTTTCTTTTTTTTTTTTTTTTCCATTATGTAGGCTAAGTTTTTTTTTTTGCAATATTTATAATAGATACCGGTTCTTTAACTTGAAAGTCAGATATTGTAAATGTACATTTTAGATGTTTGGTATCGCCAAAAAAAACAGTTTTTGCATGAGCACCAAACGTTTTTTTTTTTATACAACTTAGAATGGCAAACAAGATGACGGCCCACCTGATGGAAAGTGGTAACCGTCGCCTATAGACATGAGCAGTACCGTGGACATAACAGAGTATACTGTTTCGCCCATGATACCCCTCATGCGTTGCCATTCCTGAGGCATTTAACCTTTCATTATTTTAAACCATACACTTATTACTTTTAATAACTTAAAAATAAATGTTTACAAAACAATTTATTCTACATTACAAAATTAATACACAGCGTAATATCAAGAAATTTAATAAGCTACCTAAAAAAATTAAAATCGTTGAATAAATTAAATATCTTTGGATGAAAATTGAAGTCATTGCTAGAGAGATGTCTGTACTCCATACACGAATTCTGACTGTCGTAAATTTAAATATTGATAGATAGACAGATACTCTTTATTGTTTCCTCCAAAAGATTACAATAGTAAACTTATTATAGATACGAACAACTACAAGAAATAATCACAATGAGAAAAACAATGGGCAGCCTTATTGCTAAAAACGATATCTTCCAGACAATTTTTGGATGGAGAGGAGTAGTTATAAACAGTTTGATTGGAGGCACGATGAAAATTCTATCATTTCTAAATATAGAGATGTAATACATACCTTAACGGGTCACAACACCGGCTATTCTAACTCGAGCTGGGGGGGGGGAGGGATTGTTAGTAATGGAGACTAAGAATCCCATTGCTAGCAATATACCCAACCAGGTCGATCTCCTCGCGGTTCCCCCTGGAAACTATCATGGTTAATTCCTGATGAATTCATCATGATGGGCTAACTGGCCTGTTTTCATTCTCATCTATCACCCTTCACTGGTGCTCCGCCAGCGTATCCCGTTAGCGCAGGCGGGGTTACCACTCCATTTTCATTCAATATTTAAAAAAAAAACTCGAGCTTTGATACTCTATGACTGGACCGGGCAATTGTTGTGATTATGAGCTAACTAATGCCTTCATCATTCAATGTGACAAAATATTATTGCAAATGTTTATGTTATTATAATGAAATTATTTTAATGTTTTGTTTAATAAGTTTTTATATTTGCATGCCTACAGTGTGGCAGAATATGATTGGACTATTTTTCTTGTAAAGCTAACACCTATAAAAATGTACCTTATTCCAGCAAATAAATGATTTCAATTTCAATGTATCCTTTCAGATGCTACTAAACAACATTGTAAACAAATTGGGCGACCCGTCTCAGTCGGTATCGTCGAAAGTGATATACCATCTCTGTCAATTGCTGTACAATCATCCCAACATGAAGGCAGTGGTGCTGGCAGAAATAGAGAAAATGCTCTTCAGGTAAATCATTTTTCATCATTGATGCAATTTTTTGTTATACAACTTAGAAAGGCAAACAAGCTGACGGCCCACTTGATGGAAAATGGTAACCGTCGCCTATAGACATGAGCAGTACCATGGACATAACGGAGTATACTGTTTCGCCCATGATACCAACCCGCATGCTAAGCGTACCGGCCACCAGGAAAACCGTCTTATCATTGAGGCCTATGTTCAACAGTGGATAGTTAACGGGTGATATTAATGCTTCTGGGAACACGTTTCCAGGTCGAATATATCTCCACGGGCGCAGTACTACGGCGTTTGCTTCCTGAACCAGTTCTTTCTCGGCAAAGATGACTCCAAGATCGCCGAGAACCTCATCAGGATATACTTCTCATTTTTCAAAGCATCCATAAAGAAGGTACTTATGTGTTTTATATGGTGTTGTATGTGCGCTATTAATGTAAAATTATGTGTCTGTTTATCTATATACTAAGTTTCTCTGGACGTCGATGGCGGGAAAAGGTCGTCACCTATTTCGATATCGCCCATATCGGCCGGATATCTGTTTTCGAATATAAAAGTCTGTTATCCAATATTATTTTTTTGGATAACAGACTTTTAACATATTAATAATAATTGGCGTGAATTTACTGGGTACAGAGGAATAACACCTGAGTCCTCAGGAATGGCAACGCATGGGGGTATCATGGGCGAAACAGTATACTCTGTTATGTCCATGGCACTGCTCATGTGTATAGGCGACGGTTACCACTTTCCATCAGGTGGGCCGTCAGCTTGTTTGCTGTTCTAAATTGTATAAAAAAAAGAGCGACATAAGCAATAGATATAGTTAATAAAAAAAAAACTTTCCCAGGGCGAGATAGACTCGCGTCTAATGTCGGCCATATTGACCGGCGTCAAGCGGGCGTACCCGTTCGCGGACAAGGACCGCCTGGCGGAGACCCCGGAACACATAAATGCAATACACAAGCTCGTCCACCTGGCCAGCCTGAACATTGCAATACACTCGCTGGCACTGCTCTTCCATATCAGTGACGCCAGCAAGGGGACCTCGGATCGGTGAGTTAATTGTTTGCATATTTATTTACATACATACATACATACATATTTGTCACGCATGTCTCCCATTAGGGTAGGCAGAAACAATGGAACGCCAAATGTTTCGATTCAAACAAACCTCTTTCGCTTTTTCCACATTCATCATGTTTTCATACACGCTCGCCGGTTACGGGTACTTTTAATTTGGCCCTTCTTCAGCACGTCGCCTATTTGGTCAACATACGAGTACGTCCGTCTAGGGCGGCCCCTACCGACATCTCCATTAATTCTTGCTCGATAAATCTCTTTCTTAATTCTTCTTTCATCCATCCTCTCCAAATGACCAAACCAACGCAACATTCCTTTTTCGATTTTTGTCACTACATCGTCTTTCAGTCCACACTTCTCTCTAATCACACTGTTTCTGTATATTTATTTATTTATTCTTTATTGAGGACATTACAAAAAAAAATGTCTGATACAAAAGGCTGACTTAATATCATATAGCATTCACACACAAGCCCAAGAGGTTTAAGTGCTACTAAAAATCCAGTTTTTTTTTTTTTTTAATGTATTTATGCATGCTAATTAAATAAATAAAAAAATATTAATTATGCGATGAAAAAATTGTATTTATCCATTTACAATATTGCACCATATTTTTTTAAATCACCAAGATACCAAACAAACGTACAGTTTACGCCCCACCTGATGGTAAGCGGTTACCGTAGCCTGTGAACGCCTGCAATGCGCTCGTTCGTTAATTTTAATGTTTCATGTTGTTTACATATATTTTAAATACATTATCAGGACTTAACGCCATGAAAAATGTTTGCAGGTAAATAGTACCTACATACTTGCCTCTTTACGATAGTGTATTTAAAAAACATACAACCTGTCTGATGATAAACGGTCACTGTAGCCTATGGACGCCTACAACACTAAGGTTGTCACGTGCGCGTTGCCGACTCTGAAGAAACCTAAATGTACCCTTTTTGAAGAACCCCACACTGTAGTCTGTAGAGAATACCTCGGCAAGGAGTTTTTTTTTAAGATAAGATAAAAATATATTTATTTAACAAAGTATGTTTGTTTAGCACAGAATTTATCATTGCTTCCTACACTAGGCTGAGCTTGTCCTGTAGGAGTTCATTCCGCAGCCTAAGCGTTCGCGAGAGAAAACTCGTCTGAAAGTGCACTGTAGGCGACTAAGGTTCTAGCATGTTGAGGATGAGTTTCTTTGCGTGACAGAATCCGAAACGAGGATAACTGCAAAATAATCAATTTTCAATTGTAATTATGAACATATATTTTTATTAATATAATAAATTTGACTGTTTGTTTGTTATTCCTTGACGCTTTAACGACTCAACGATACGTCATGAAATTTGGTGTAGACAACGTATTATTTGAAACGTAGAAGAACATAGATTACGTTTTATATTGAACACAAAAGGCGAAGACGCGGATAAAAACTAATAATTTTATAATTCCTCTTACAGCTACTACACCGCCCTCTACCGTAAACTTACAAACCCGAACATCTTCAGCACCACGCATTCCGCCCTCCTGTTCTCACTGGTCTACAAATCTGTGAGACAAGACAAAAATATTGACCGCGTCACCGCTTTCATAAAGCGCATGCTGCAACTCAGCAGCTACATGAATCCGGCTCAAGCTTGCGGCATGCTGTTCTTGATTTCCCAAGTGCTGAAAGATGGAAAGAAGAGTGCTGCCGCTTCTAGCATGTTGCAGTGGACCAAGAAAGAAGTTAAAGAGGTAATTGATGTAAATGTTGCTAAGCGGGAAACTCGAGAACGGCTGGACCGATTCAGATAGTTTTTTTTTTTCTTTTAATATTCGTTGAAGTCCAAGGAAGGCTTTTATGAAAAGCTAAATTTTTAAAAATGGTCTGGGAAAATGGAAAATATGACCAAATTTTTCTTTTACAAATGCATGTAGGTAGATCTGTCGCAGTGTCCACGGTATCCCTCATGTTTTGCCATTTCTGAGAACTATGATGTAGATGGGTTTTTTTATGCAACTTAGAATGGCAAACAAGCTGACGGTCCACCTGATGGAAAGTAGTAACCGTCGCCTATAGACATGAGCAGTACCATGGACATAACAGAGTATACTGTTTCGCCCATGATACCCCCAAGATAGTTGTAGTCATTGTACCCAAAATAAATATAAAATCACTGTGTGGTCCCGGCATAGAATGAACCACCCCTTTCTTTTCCATGGGTATCGTAGGTGGTGACTAAGGTGGTACTAATCGTAGGTGGAACTTAATGATTGAAGGATAGGCAGCAGCCTCTTAAAACCTAAGTGTGGTTGCCAACTCGCCTGCAAAATATAGCAATTGCTAGCAAAATTCCCCATGTGGAGGGCTGTATTTAACAATGGGCAATTAACGTTGGCAGTGTTTCGCGGTAAGATACTGAAGACCATGTAGATTTGATGATATTGTCCAGTCTTGTTTTATATTTAATTGAATTTTGCAATAAAGAATATGTAATTGTAAATTTAATTTATTATATTAATTATATTATGACATTTATATGCATGTAATCTGTAGTCAATGTTGTGTACGCCTGCTATAGGTATGCATATCAGCATACTACATAAGAAATGTTTTTTTTTAATTTTTGTATAATATGTATACTGTTGGTGTGCCTAATTCGAAATAAAATAAATAAACGGCTTACATGAAATATTTTTTACATATTAAATTGGTTTAAAAAGGACAACTATTGTGTTTCTTACGAGTTCTTTTCAATAGATAGACGTTCTAAACCCAGCAATAAGATTCATAAAAGATGATGATTTAAAAGGGCTTAGAAACAAGACTATATTTTTTTTTTTGTTGGATGAAAATTGATTGGTAACCCCGCCTGCGCTAACGGGATACGCTGGCGGAGCACCAGTGAACGGTGATAGATGAGAATGAAAACAGGCCAGTTAGCCCATCATGATGAATTCATCATGATAGTTTTCAGGAGGACACGCATGGAGGTCGACCTGGTTAGGTATATTGCTAGAAATGGGATTTTTAGTCTCCATTACTAACAATCCCTTTCCCCCCTGAAACAAGACTATTAAAAAAAAATTCTATTCTATTAACTTTTATATCTAGGAAGTGAAGACAGAATCTGAGCTAGATACAGAACAGAACGATATAGAAGATGAAAACGAAGGCGTCAAAGAAGATAGTGTGACAGAAGTGAACGACACAATAGAAGAAGATGAAGTAAAAGTGGAACAGAAGAAAGTTGATCTTCTGCACGGGGATAAGAAAGATCTTTTGATGGGTAAGTTTTTTTTATGCAACTTAGATATTTTAACGGCGCTGGTAGAGGAGGAGGGCAGCGACAATAATAAAATTATATTAGAGCGAGACTAGTCCAGTGTAATTTCCTTAAGACGTGAACAATATGTCAATCAAGTAAAATAACAAAAAGTTATCAAAAAACATATTCAAAATATAAAAATATAAATCTAAAAAGGTAAACTTATATTAAAAGAGGACTGTCCCCAACAGATGTGCTCCTATGGTTTCGCTCCTCCGAAATGCTTAGACCGATTTTTATGAATTTTTTGTATATTTGGTAAGTAAAACCAGGCCTGAACTTGATATCCATAACGATAGTCACTCTATGTTTATGGTTAAATTAAAATGTTGATGTACCTCGCCATTGCATTATATTTATTTATAATTTAAAATAATTACATTACAATTTCCATTATTTATATTATGTTATTATTCATATTGTTAATATCTTTACTTATTTAATGACATTTAATAATTTAATTCTATTTTAATGTTCATCAAACACAAGGCATGCTGTGGTTGCCTATAAATGTAAGAACAGTTAGATTTAATCTACCAGTGTATTGTACTAAAATGTTTAGCTGTATCTTATGTTGGTAATCCTATAAATAAAGAATAGGTCGTAAAATTTATTAACAGGGGGCTGGGTGGGTTGTGCCTACCCTATTAAGTCTACCTCCACGCGGTTCGCCCTAGAAACCATCGTGGTTAATTCTTGTTGACTTCGTCAGGATGCGTTACCTGACCTGTTTTCATCCTCACTTATCATCAGTCACTGGTGCCCCGATAGCGCAGGCGGGGTTACCATTCTATTATCATCCATTTAATAATATGAATTAATCACGATGGTTTCCAAACAGAACCGCATGGAGGTCGACCTGATGGAGTATTATTGGCAACGGACCTTTTAGATCCCATTACTAACTATCCCTTTTCCCAGGACTATGATGTTATGCCTCCATGCCCTGTAATTTCATTACCATATTAATGATTAAATTGATTTGTTCTCTCTTGAATTTTCCAGAAGACGATGAAGAAACCTATGTAGATTTAAAAATTGATGAACAAGGGAATGTGAAGCCGAAGAAACGCAAGCACTCAGCAGTGGCCAGTTGGTACCACGCCAGAGTGAAGGTTGAGGGTCAGGAGGAAGACAAGAATAAAGAGAAGGAAGCACAGATACAGCTCAAGCGAACCGTTAACATGGATAAGGTATTTATTTTATTACTCGCTTTTAACCGGACGGGGAAGGATTAGTTATAGGGAAGTTTTTTTTTTTTATAGTAAGATAGATACTCTTTATTGTTTCCTCCAAAAGATTACAATAGTAAACAAGTAGATACAAACAACTACAAGAAATAATCACAATGAGAAAACAATGGGCGACCTTATCGCTAAAAGCGATCTCTTCCAACCAACCTTTGGATGGAGAGGAGTAATTATAAACAGAGGCATAATTATAATTATATATTTTAATGGATGATATTTATTTTATTGATGGATAAATTTTCAAGAGCATATTCCTTTTTAAAAAGCCAGCAGCATACTTGCCATTCCACTGGTGTTGGGAGTTCTTTAGGGACTGCAGTAGTCACCACTTGGTAAAACACTTGCTCGTTGCTCCCCCTGTACTATAAAAAAATAAAATCTGTCATAGATAATAATGGAGTACAACCCCCACGCTCGGAATCCAACGTTCGCCGGTGCCAACTGCACGGCGTATATGGAACTGGTGGCGCTGGCGAGACACTTCCACCCAACCGTGAAACTGTTCAGTGAGAGGATACTAAATGGTTTGTAACTCTATATGTTAATTATATAATTTTATAATACTATACTTAAAGAACTATATATACCGTAATTAAGCTATTTAGACAACTAGAGGTGACAAACAAATTCATTTTTTATATTAAAGGTAAAAATCTATTTATTATCAAAGTATGTTTGTATAAATGTTCAGTATTGACTCTTACTACGTGAATTTACTAATCCAACTATTAATTATTCGACTGAGCAATGTAAATGAGACTGTAATTTTATTCATTCGACTACTAATTTTATTCATTCGAATATTAATTGTATTCATTCGACTGCTAATTTTATTCATTCGACTGCTAATTGTATTCATTCGACTACTAATTGTATTCATTCGACTGCTAATTTTATTCATTCGACTGCTAATTATATTCATTCGACTGCTAATTGTATTCATTCAACTGCTAATTGTATTCATTCGACTGCTAATTTTATTCATTCGACTGCTAATTGTATTCATTCGACTGCTAATTGTATTCATTCGACTGCTAATTGTATTCATTCTACTGCTAATTGTATTCATTCGACTGCTAATTTTATTCATTCGACTGCTAATTTTATTTATTCGACTGCTAATTGTATTCATTCGACTGCTAATTGTATTCATTCGACTGCTAATTGTATTCATTCGACTGCTAATTGTATTCATTCGACTGCTAATTTTATTCATTCGACTGCTAATTTTATTCATTCGACTGTTAGGTAGGTAGGTAGTGGGTAGTAGGATTTTATTTTCATTATTAGTGGTTTAGATTAGTAATTACTAATTACTAAATTTATTCGAATACTAAAACTAGTATATTACTATTACATTAAATATTCGAATTAAATTTTACACATTTAATTTCGTTATTCGAATATTTAATGTACTTGCAAGTAATGCCGGCAGGGTAATCATTCCATTTTCATCCATTAAAAAATGCACTATGTTTATTTATATACTTTTTTTTTTCTGCCACAGAACAAATAATTCAGTACAGCGGCGATCCGCTGAAAGATTTCTCCGGCATTCGCTTTTTGGATCGCTTCGTGTTCAAGAACCCTAAGAAACGAGCGGAGAACGATGACGATGCGGATTTAAAAAGGGTCAAGGGGTCCCACCCGAAGTTTGCTGTTAGGAAAAATTATTCCGCCAAAGGTAAGCTTGTTTTTCAAATTTTTTTTTATACCACTTAGAATGGCAAACAAGCTGACGGCCCACCTGATGGAAAGTGGTAACCGTCGCCTATAGACATGAGCAGTACCATGGACATAACAGAGTATACTGTTTCGCCCATGATACCCCCTATGCGTTGCCATTCCTGAGGACTCAGGTGTTATTCCTCTGTACCCTGTAAATTCACGCTATATCCCACCCTTCAAACCGAAACACAACCATGCAAACATAACTGCTTCACGGTTGAAACACGAATGGGACAGAGGTACCCAAGCAATCGACTTTTGTACAAAGTCTCCCTTACTTACTTTGAAAATAGAAAAGGTTCTTCATACACTTGTATTTTTTTTTTATTTATTTCCTGATGACACCATCATTTATAAACCGAAAACTTTCTTTTTTTATATTTCGTTTGTTACTTCATAACGTAGTTTAGTTTATAAATCAAAATAACTCGTTCAAAATCTTTTAAATTGTTAAATTTCTTTTATTCGAACGATGAAATAAAAAACATGCCTCTTTATTAAAGATGTATAATGATGACGTAGCTTTTTAATTTGAACGAGTAACATATGCTTTTGACTTAACAAATAAGTTGAGCAATCCAAAAATAAAAGCGTATGCGGAGCATCCCATAAAATATTTCCCGTCTTGCTCACACTTCGTGTTTTGCTTATAATGCTGTCTCTTTCTATTACTATCATTACATGTCATATATATAATATTAGGACCGCAACTACTATTCTAAATGTATGTATTTTTTTTTCAGGTCTGCGCGGTATACCTATAAGTTCAACGACCTATTTGAACGAGGATGTCTCCAAGATACCAGTTGATGAAAGGTTCCTTTACGAGTGAGTAGAAATGATTTTATACAACTTGTCAAAGCAAATAAGACCTAATTATAACAATAAAGTGATAACATAGACGCGCACCATAGACGTCCCAGTATACACAGTGACGCCTATTAAAAAATAAAGTTTATTTTGTTTTCACATGCAATCTACACAGGGTTAAATAAAGAAACATGCATGCAGTTAAAGAGATATATATACACATAGTTTTATATATATATATATATATATAAAACTATGTGCTAACACAACATAGACTGAAAGACATTTTTATTTTGCATAAATATATGATAGCACCCATACAGGGGTTAAAAAAATAATGATGGAATAACTACAAAATTTACTAAATATGTAGAAAAAATAACAATAAATGTATTTTACAGCATATTTAGTAAGCATGAGCATGTGTGCGTGCGTTGAAATATTCGCTAGAACGAGGTCCGTACTCAGCATTATGCTGTAGTGTCAGGGACGCTACAGCGCTGATTTTCAGCACGAGCCTCGCCAACCCGCGCGGTCCTAATAAAAAAACTACTTTGTGCTAACTAAAACTATAAAATACATAGACTGGGGGGAAAGGGATTGTTAGCAATGAAGTTTGATAGCCCCATTGCTAGCAATATCTCCTATTAGGTAGACCTCTACATTGTTCCCCCTGGAAACTACCGTGAACAATTCTTGTTGAATTCGTCACGATGAACGAACTGACCTGCTTCATCCTCACTTATCATCCTTCACTGGTGCCCCGCCGGTGTATATCGATAGTGCAGGTGGGTTAACCATTCCATTATCACCTATTAAAAAAAAGACTGACAAACAAGCTGACGGCCCGCCTGATGGATAGTAGTGTTATTCCTCTGTACCCTGTAATTTCACTGTCATATCCCACCCTTCAAACCGAAACACAGTCATGCAATAAATATTACGGATTTAAAATTCCAGTTTCCTGAAGATGCGCCGTGAGGAACGAGGGTCTGATGATGATGACAGTGACAAGGATTCGGTGACCAGCGAAGACTTCGAGCAGTACCTCGACTCTATGACTGGGAAATCACAAGGTAGGATATAGATTGAAATAAATAAAGCAATTAAGATAGGAGCATTTAACAAGTAATATATGACTAGATTGGTGTGTGGTCCCAGCATAGAATATGGCCTATTCTATGCCCCTTTAATAATATTTCATAAATACGTGTAGCGTATGAGATTTCATATGAAATGCAAAATACGTCGCACTTGTAGTTAACGTTCGTAAAAGCTGTTACAAGTAGCAACAGTGAAAAATAACAGTTATATAGCTGCTTCGTGAGTCTGTTGGCGCTCAGTTAAATGTGAAATTAAATGTAAATCAGTGAAGCATTTCTGACAGCCGACTGGCTCGTAAAAAATGAAGCAATAACAAAATATTTTAGCACACTGTTTATAAATTATCATATTCCATACTTTATTTTAATAGCTAATACTCTTAGAAGCAAGTTTGATATTGGACCATTACGAGTGAAAATCACTCTTTGTAATTTTTCACAAATTAAATCACTGTGATAATGAATAATTTCATTAAATGATATTATGTTATCTATCTTCACACTTTATATTAACATGTCTTACATTCTAATACCCCATAACGGAGGGGGGAAGGGATTGTTAGAAATGGAGACTGAGAATCCGATTGCTAGCAATATACCCGATCAGGTCGACCTCCTCGCGGTGCCTCTTGGAAACTATCGTAGTTAATTCCTGATGAATTCATCATGATGGGCTAACTGGCCTGTTTTCATTCTCATCTATCACCCTTCACTGGTGCTCCACCAGCGTATCCCGTTAGCGCAAGCGGGGTTACCATTTCATTTTCACCCATCAAAAAAAATACCACATAAGGCATTCAGTATAAGTACCACATTTTTTATTATTTGTTAAATTTTTTTATATATGAAATAGAAATGTTATACCATTTTTCTTGTCATTTACAGTTGAATCCGACGAGGAATTAGACTACCTCGCAGACATGCAAGCAACTAGACATCAGAAAAAATCGAAGAAGCAAAACGACGGTGATGATGACCAGTTCGGCAGTGATGACGATGATGAAGGTGATGAACCTGACGACGGTGGTGATGAGGTTGATGATGAAGGTACCTAAAATGTTACATTTTCTAAATTAATTAAAGAGGAATTATTTTCAACGCATAAAGGGTACCATGGGCGACACAGTACAGTCTGTGTTATCATCAAAAATATATTACGGGTCACTAAATAAAAAATTGGGATAAGGGTAGGAAAATTATGGTGGTTTCAAACAAATATCTGATGATTAACAGTTACTATATTCTACAAAGTGCATCCTTCTTAAAATCTCAAATGAAACAACATAGTTCATTACACAATTATGTAGTATTGTAGTAGTTTTTATTTTATTAAGAGAAAAAACGTAAAACTGTAAATTATTCTTACCAGAGGGAGACTTTGTACAAAAGTCGGTTGCTTGGGTACCTCTGTCCCATTCGTGTTTCAACCGTGAAGCAGTTGTATTTGCATGGCTGTGTTTCGGTTTGAAGGGTGGGATATGGCGTGAATTTACTGGGTACAGAGGAATAACATCCGAGTCCTCAGGAATGGCAACGCATGGGGGGTCTCATGGGCGAAACAGTATACTCTGTTATGTCCACGGTACTGCTCATGTCTATAGGCGACGGTTACCACTTTCCATCAGGTGGACCGTTAGCTTGTTTGCCATTCTAAGTTGTATAAAAAAAAACTTATTTATATTAGTGTGAGCATTGCATCTGAGCATCTTCCGTTAGATTAGCAAAATATTATATTTTTGCTTTTCCACGATCAACTTTTTTTTTTTTTTACAACACAGGGGGCAAACGAGCATGCGGCTCACCTGATGGTAAGTGACTACCGCCGCCCATGGTCACCCACAACACCTACGGCATTGCAGTCGCGATCGACCAGTTCGCCACGCCTGCTCTGTAGTGATCGTTTATTATCAGGCGGACCGTATGCCTGTCATTCTCATAATATAACAATATTTAAGAAAAAAATATTTATTTAGTGCTTAATTCTACACTTAATGACCAAAAATATTGAACAGTAAACAATAATAAAAAAAAAAAACTTTTTTACAGGTAGTGATGGTGAATTAAATATATCGGCTGATGAGGATGAACCAGATCTATCAGGGGATGAAGATGGTAGGTTTTTTTATTTACGATTATACTATCCCACAGTCGTGCATTCCCAAGGTGAGTTGACGTCAGGCAAGCAAGGGTATGTTCGTAAAACCATAAGTCAAACTCTTGGGAAATATGAATAGAGTCATATAACGTCGACCCCATATAAATGGGATATAAGCAGGGAAATGATGATATAGTCTACCTTCAGCATATCTATTTTTCTACTAGCTTTTACCCACGAGTTTATACATGTTGATTCCGAAAACACATAGGTAACTATGATTTATCAAGGAAGAAGTGATTATTATGTTACGCCATGTCGATCTTTACATAGAATAGGCCATCCCTTCCTATCCCGCGTGTGTCGTAAGAGGCAACTAAGGGAGAGCGAAGGATGAGCAGCAGCGTCTCTCTTAAAATATCTCCAAAACCTAACTATGGTTGCCAATCCGCCTGCCAAGCGTGGCAACTACTGGCAAAACCTTCCAAAGGGGAGGCTTATGTTCAGCAGTGGACAGTAAAAGGCTGATATGATGATAGGTAAGTAATGCAATAGTTTACCACAGATAAATATTTGATTACAGAATTACTTCTGGAGAATAGTGACGACGATGACCATATTGATGTTCCTGGAAAGAAATCGAAGAAAAAAATGAAGCTGAAATTAAAAGGTATTCCTATTTTTTTTGTTTATTTTGTTCAACTTTGCTCCAATCGTTTTTTTTTTTAATGGGTAAAAATTGAATGGTAACCCTGACTGATTTATTAATAATGGTAGTCCCACCTGCGAATGATGATAAGTGAGAATGAATGCAGGTCAGTTGAACTATGATGATAAATTGTACAAGTATTAACCTTGATGGTTTCCAGGGGTAACTGCTTGAAGGTCAACTAACAAAGTGTATTGACAGCAATGAAGCTGTCAGATGATATCACCAATAATCCCTCCCCCCTCTCCCCACTCATGTTATTGTCGCCCAGCAGCTGTGCTCATAGCTGTGTTTCAATTTAAAGAGTAGAGTGCAGTGTAGTGAAATTATAAGGTACTGGGGCATAACATAATATAGTCTTCAGGAATGATAACACACCCGTCATAAATTGTTATTCCTTAGTACTAAAATGTGGGTATAAAGGGGAAACCGTGGTCTTTACAACATATTCTGCACTATTCATAGAGCTTTTCATACCTATAACTAACAGTTACCACTTGCCATTAGGTAAAATGTCAGCTTATTTGCCATTTTCAGCAAGTTGCATAGAATTACATAAATAATATTGTAAATATATTTAAAGTAAACAAATGTTATAGCCTTATTTATTTATATATAATGGACAAAAATAAAAGAGTATGGCATACACAACAGGTGGTGATGACTTGGGATCCCTGTTTGCATCAGCTGAAGAGTTCTCCACGCTTCTAGAAGATACTGCAACTAATAAAAAACAAGGCTCCAGTCATGCTGTCGCAAACACAGACAACGCCAGTACAAAGCAACTAGCTTGGGAAGAAAAACGCGATCGATGGATAAAAGGCTATAATAGGAATATTCTCGGTCATAAAAAAGGCAACAAAGGAAAAAAATTCAACAGGAACAAGCAAAATGGCGGCAAGAACAAATTGGCGCCACAAACTGGCGGGAAAAGGAAGGGCGGGAATGCAAGTGGTGCTGGTGGAAAAAGAAAAAAGTTTAAATAATACTTAAATACTTACATTATATAAATGTATTTAATAAATCTTAAGTATTTGTTTTATTTAATTACGTATATTTTAAAATTTTATTTCACAAAAAAATAACTTTAGTTAGAAATAGTTCAACATTTCTATGATTATAAACATCACCACCAAAGAAATATAATATAATTAATTATCTAACGAGGCAGCTGTAGGCGACATATTCTACGACTATGACGATATATACATAAGAGACGGGAATTAATATGATATTTTAAGTAAAATTTGATAATTTACCTGAGTCATCTGAAAATTTCAATCAAGTTACTCAAGTCGCGGTAAATGTGGTCGAGATATTGTTAGTGAACAGGTTGATTAGCAAAAAATGCTTTTAGTAATAAACCGCCTTGTTTAAATTATTTAATAATAATATTAATTTTATTTGCTATGATTTTGGATATAAAATATTAGATCTTATAAACTAAAAGTACCTCACAAAATTCACTTAGGTCAAACATGCAAATATTGAAAACAAGTCACAACAACTAAATTTAAAAATTTTTGAAGCATTAAAAAATCAATCATTAAAGAAAAATTACATTACAAAACTGTATAACATTAAATAAAATATTAAGGAATGCAAATCAACCCAATTAAGCATTAAAGAATCAGTAAATCCTATTAATCTATCTATCCAACTACAATTTACATGTGAAAATTCGTGAGGATGTATGGATGAATATTGAATTACATAAAAAAATAAATATCGTAACAAATACTTTATCTATGCTCAGAAAATTAGAACAAAATGTCAAACGTCAATGTCGCAGTCAAGTGTCAAATAAACGGAACTAAATAAACTTATGTTAAGCTAAAATCGTCCTTAACGACTAATGAGTTTACGAATAAACTTAAAGATTTCTGTTATTATTAATAATAAACATCATTTATAAAACGCTAAGATATTGTTACATATGCATTAAGAACATAAATTTATTTACGCAACTAAATTTGCTGTTCGCGCGCAATGTTCACAAATGATGCGGAAATTCTTGTTTGTTGACATTACTTCATACAGTTATGTAGTAGACCGCGCACCGCGCCGTATCTTATTTGCTACGTGTAATTTACTCATATTTACACAAAAATAACGACAGATACAAACAGTGAAAATCATACAAGAAACATTAACAACACAGGACCCATGTAAAGTTATTATTTGTGATTGTGAGTGAAAAAAAGAGCGGGCGAAAATCAGTTCCTAAGCAAGTGGCAGTACGAGCTATTTTTAGCCGGACCTATGGCGGGACGGAGGAGATTTACTTATCACAAATGTGTTTGTGTTGACCTAACATTCTAATTAAGACTTTATGATTAAAAAAAAACGGTGTTTCATTTCTCAATTCGCTATTCATAATTATCAACGATACCACAAACTAGTTTGACAGCTCACAGATGCACTTGCACACGTACACATAAACACTTACAGCAACATGGTATGCATGTGTGCGTTAAAGTGATGTGAATTCTTGCGCTTATCGATTGGCGAGATAATTTCAAGGACGTTAATCAAGACTCCTTGTGTATTATACAATAAACACATTTTAACTTATGGATAATAAAATACACTAATACTGGCAACTTATCAACTTTATAAACATGGAACCGGATTCTTTTAATAACGTAACACCACACAAAAATACAGAATCCAACCAAGCATTTATTACTGATAGTGTAGAATTATCAGATGATACATTTCGCATGAGTCTTGACAATTTCTCAGTAATCGGGGAGAATGTAACTATTGGGGATAGAAACATTTCGATCGAGAGTAATGCAACTTCGTCCGTTGGGACACCTTCACTCCAAATCGCAACCCCCATTCAAACACCGGATGTTCAAACTCCGCCGGCGGAGAAATCCCCGCCAATCATTGAAACACCGAAACCTTCGGACAATTCAAAAACCGAAGAAGCAGTCCGTAAACCGCCAAATTTACTAAAATTATCGCTTACTAAAAAGAACGATGATATGTTTGTAAAACCATCGCCGGTAACGGAGGTCATGTCGCCGGCGAAAATGTTACAATTCGAAGTAGACCTGAGTACTAGCGCGACGCCCACGATGAAACGAGCCGCTATTGATTTTAATTTCTTCGATAAAAACAATTTCGAAGAATACTTCACTGACGTCATAGAGACCAAGGAAGAAAATAAAACGGAACAAGTCGAAGGTAAAACATTTGAAGAAACGCCCGTAATCGTGAATGCTAACACAGTTCGTCATGAAATAGGCTATGGTAAGTATCTTTGGTAAGCAATTAACCTTGTTATTTTACCAATTAAATATAATAAATCGAAGACCTATTTCAACAAGTGTCTAGCGCCTCAGCGCAGCCTACATCTTAGGTAGGTATATAATGAGTCATTAAAATAGAGAATACTTCAAGAGTCACGTTTTAAATGAATATAATATATGAATTTGCGTTTTACAAAAAAAAACAAGAGCAAAACTAGTTATTTTGATTTAAAATCGAAACTACGAATCGATTTTTATAAAAAATTTCTAAATCGGTTTACTGAGTTACTAGGTAACAAATATTAAAAAAATATACATGCGAATTGAGAACTTTTTTTTTGAAGCGTTGAAAAGAGGTAGTTCTCAATCAAGTAGGTAGTTTGATTTTTTTTACGCGTCTATATCGCCAATTGTGACCGATTCTGGTATTTCTCTTTTACAATTGATAGAGTTAACTACGATGTTACGATTTTATATCCATTTATGACAATTTTACGAAGCAAAATCTTTTAGATGCACGATTTCGTATTGAAAATTGTTTTTTTTTTTTTAATATAATATACTTGTCTACGTTATCTATGCAACATCTCGTTCATCGATATGTATATATGTATTTAGACTTGAAGCGTCTCTTATGCTGAGTAAAATAAATTTGTTATTCATCCATGGTGTGATTTTAGTTAATTCTAAAATACCCCGTAGACTATTATATAAAGTTTAGAGAAAAGAATACAGTATAACTCCAACTAAGAACATGGAATTCTATTCCGAAATCTTTAAACTTCAAGTGTGCGCCTAAACCTTTGGTGTGCGCTACACTAGACGATAATCTATAAATGTGTCTAAATATAAAAGAAGTAAACTCTTTTATTATGTCATTTATATTAAATTAGTTTATACTTTGTCATATATTGGACCGAGTGAGACAAAAACTAGTGTACCCATCTCTATCGAAATTTCATGATGAATTAATATGTAATAATTGGGGGGAATGGGATTGTTAGCAATGGTGTTTGACAGCCCCATTGCTAGCAATATACCCTATTAGGTTGACCTCCACGTGGTTCCCCTCTGGAAACCATCGTGAACAATTCTTGTTTTATTCGTCATGATGGGCTAACTGACCTACTTTATCCTCATCTATCATCCCTGACTGGTGCCCCGCCGGTGTATACCGATAGCGAAAAAAAATATGTTATAATTATGGCGGAATCCCTGGAGGACTTGAATACTATGCTCATTGCCCTTATAGTACTTCTCAAGAAGTAAGTCTTAAGATGAGCATGGATAAGTCTCAAATAACGTCTATCGTTCATATCACACCTTAAGCCAGATTATGGCTGGTAACACCACGCTTAGTGGAAGTTGGACTTCACAGTCGGACAAGTTGTCTTTTTTTTTAATGGATGATAATGGAATGGTAACCCCACCCGCGCTATCGGTATATACCGGCGGGGCACCAGTGAAGGATGATAGATAGGTGAGGATGAAGTAGGTCAGTTAGCCCATCGTGACGAATTCCACAAGAAGTGTTCACGATGGTTTCCAGGGGGAACCACGTGGAGATCGACCTAATAAGGCATATTGCTAGCAATAGGGTTATCAAACTCCAATGCTAACAATCCCTTTCTCCCGGACAAGTTGTCTTAGGCATATATACTCGTCGACAACTTTGAGCGTGGTGTCAAGTCATAATCGCTTTAGATGTAATAGTAACGATACAAATGATTTTGGACTTATCCATGTTCATTTTAAGACCTACTTCTTGAGCAGCACTATTGAGGTCTTTGAGCATAATATTCACGCCTAGCAATTGGGTTGGAAACCGCAGTTAGACTTTCACAGATGTTTTAATAGAGACGCTGCTGCCCATCCTTCTACCATTAAGTTGCTTTAGTTGCGTCTTACGACACCTACAGGAAAGGAAGGGGTGGCCCATTCTATGCCGGGACTGGATTCTAGGCTGACCAACTATTCCCATTATTGGGAATATTATTATAATATATGCAATAATAAAAACCAAAACGAGGGCGTGGTTGTGTTTGTGACTCAGAATATTCGGAATATCGTGGCAGAATTTTGTGATACGGGTTTTTCGGATACCCAGTTCTGGCACCAGTTCCCCACAACTTTGGTGTGTCTATGGTATTATTTAAAGTAATCCATTGTACTCAAAAAGTTGTGAGATAAATAAATAAACATTATTACATTATGATTAATTAATAAACAAGAATAGAATGTGAATTTGAGTTTTATTTAATGTTTAACGTCATTTATTCACATTTGTGTAGGTTATATCAATTAAATTACATAGAAGATAATATGGTAATGACTTTATAAAGGCGTATCTAATGAGTATTTCTAGGAAAGTCGTTTGCTTCACATTTTACCTCTGTTCCACTCGTGTTTCTGTTACTGAACAATTCTGCTTGCGTACTTGTATTTTTTGAAGGGATTTGGCAGTTAAATTACTGGATTATCTTATCAGCGGTTAACTATATAGACCTCACTCATAAGAGGGGTTTTACCAGTTGTCGCTTGGCAGGCGCGTTGGCAATCGCAGTTAAGCTTTGGTGATACTTTAAGAGGGACGCTGCTGTTCATCCCTCGTCTATTAAATTTCCTTCATCGCCGTTTACATTATCTTCGAGAAATAAACGGGTAGCAAAGAATGATCATTATCATCATCATTTCAGCCATTACCTGCCCACTGCTGGATGTAGACTGCCATAAGGAACGGTTCTGAACCATTTACATCATGTATGCATAAAATCATATGATAAAATAAATATAAATTATAGGGTACGTAGTCATAACAACACAGTGTTTAGAAAAATAATGTATTAAGAGTACTATGGTAGATACGATTTATTTAGTAATTCCCATAGTAACTTTCCATGAGAGAGACCATCAGCAGTAAACTTATTAGCCATTTCAAGGTGTATAAAAAAATAGTGAGATTACCCAGTTTATGTACATAAATAAATAATGTAATGTTGCAAATAAAAAGTTTATCAAAGCCAGACGATTTTTAAACGAACGACCTTAGCTGAATGACTTTTTTTGTACTACAGTCTGATGAGATAGCAAACGAATTCGATAACGTTTCCGTGTCTTCCAATACCTAGTTCGTACAGATGAAAATTTCCGTGTTCTCGTAATCGAATTGTTAACAGACACTAATTACTTATTGACAACCCATAAAATTGGAAGCAATTTCACAACCTTCGTACGTAGTGATTAACTGAGAAATCTTCATCTGCTTGTAAATTAATAAATTATGGATTCTAGACTTACTTACTAGTTCGACTTTTTTTTGCTTTTTTGTTTTTATACCACAGGTGACATGCAAGCATCCGGCCCAATTGATAATAGGCGGTTACCGTAACCTAGAGAGATATATTTATTGACTGTGCTACTGTCACGATATTTAACTAATTCTATTTAAAATTGTTTAATTATTATTCATTTTACGTTTTAAGTGCTTGGAAGCGGTGTCGAAATCTTAAGTCTTACGAGAGATTTTGCCTCACTCTGCGTGTTCTACCGCTTGTACAACGGATTGTGCTCAGAGGAATTATTCAATATGATGCCTGCGGCCACTTTCTATCATCGTACGGCTCGCCATCGACAGGGAGTTCACCCTCATACCTTACAGCCTCAATGGTCACGTACTGCGCGGTTTCAGAGATGTTTTCTCCCACGAACACTCAGGTTATGGAATGAGCTCCCTGCCGAGGTTTTCCCAAGAGACTACAGCAAGGGGTTCTTCAAAGGGGGGGTAAAGAGGTTTCTTCAGGGTCGGCAACGCGCGCGTATTACCTCTGGTATTGCAGGCGTTCATAAGCTACGGTAACCGCTTACCATCAGGTGGGCCGTATTCTTGTTTGCCACCTCAGTGGTATAAAAAAAAAGTAAAAAGAAGAAGTGAAATTAAAAATATGGTGATAATTTAACTATTATAATAGTAATTAAAAACATCTATGTATTGAAGCATTGAGCACTCCGAGCAAAACAATTGCATACTAAAGTTCAGTTTTACCACTCATTTAAGAACGTACAATCAAGTAACTTACCCTCAACTTTAGACTCTAAGCCAAATATAAACAATACACCTACAAGCCACATGAAAAATTATTATCAGGCATGAACACGATTATCTCCAATTAACTGCACTAATAAAAATATAAACACTCTAATCACACCGACACATATAAATAGTTACAGGAACTCCAATAAGATGAACGATTGCTTATATAAAGAGCACGCATTTAGTCATCCCTCGCCGTCAATAGATGTTGCTACCTATAAGAATAAATTAATAATTTACATAATCGGCGATGAACAAGTTAGTGATTTAGCGTCGGAAATGATTGAAGATAGGGAAAGTAAATGGAATGACATCTACAACATGATTTTGTAAAACCGCATGCAACTAGTTCAGAGATTTTAAAAAGGCAAAAAAAGCCTTATTTCTGCCAAAAAGGTAACAAAAATTACATTGAGATATGTCTCAATGTCATTTTTGTTATGTATGGGATCCAATGACAAAAATCCTTATAGTTTGTTGTCTGATATGTGTAGTACCTTATATGAGTTAAGAGAGTGTAAAATTTTTGTATTGAATGTATTTAATTTAATAACTGTTACCCCAATATTAGATAGATAGATAGATACTCTATTGTTTTCTCCAAAAGATTACAATAGTAAACTTATTATAAATATAAACAATTACAATATTATATTGTTGAATCGAAAGGAATTGTTAGTAATAAAGACTGAGAATCCTATTGCTAGCAATATACCCAACCAGGTCGACCTCCTCGCGGTTCTCCCTGGAAACTATCATACTTAATTCCTGATGAATTCATCATGATGGGCTAACTGGCCTGTTTTCATTCTCATCTATCACCCTTCATTGGTGCTCCGCCAGCATATCCCGTTAGCGCGGGCGGGGTTACCATACCATTATCACCCATCAAAAAAAAACACTATAAAAAA